AAAATATTTTAAACTATTTATTTAACTTTTAAAATCAAAGTGTGTATAAAATTATGTTCTCTCGGATGCAACTGAATTCCAGTACAGTATTATTAAAAGTGGCCCCTGAATGAATCTGTTCAAATTGGAGTACAGTGAATTGCATTTGCCTGGGATTTAAGTGCATTTCCAAATTTATAAGTTTGACACCTGGCAAGTGATTTTACTATCTGAAAATGTAAAATCTAATACTGTACTGCATATCTTATAATTGTGAAAAAGCTTGGTACAGATAAACATTACTGGAAACCTATTTTGTACAATATACTGTATATGTATAGTATACTTTTGATACCTTGTGATTAGATACACGATAAAAATACAATAAAATACAAAACTATCATATAAACTTATACCCCCCATTAACCTACTTTGGCAACTGGTAAATTACTTTGGCGTGAAAGCTTATGAGAATAATGCAACTGAGAATCACATACTGTACGGTATATATATAGCCTCAATTTCGTTTTTAATAAAAAAATATTTTTAACACGTTTTCTACAACTACAATATATTGAATGCTACATTATAAAATGTCTGTAAACTGATGTAAATACTTATTAATCAGAACTTTTTATTATACAGTTGTGTCTGGAAAACAAAAGATATTGGATTTACACATGGAAATTTGTTTGTGAATTATACAAAATTTTCATGTAATGTTCGCAATGAAAAGTTAGTGCAAATCTCTCATCTTATTTTGCATTTTATACATTTAAATACAAAAAACAAGTTATATTTATTAATATGATGAAACCTTGGACTGGTGCCCAGTACCAAATCCAGAGATCATTCAGCACTTCATTATACAGTACTGTATTAACAAAAATATCAAATAATCAAACCTGCAATAACAAAACAAGTTCGGTCACAACAATCCTAGAGAATGACATTTCTAGCAGGTAACGGCAGATCTAAGGTCACCAAAGGTTAAGTCCGATTCAAAATCCCAATGGCAATTACTAAATAAAATATTGTTCTTCTTCAAAACACATTGATCACTTTCTTACATTAATTCTTTTCAAGACTTCTTCTCAAACCCTTTGAATAGCTCAAATGAACTACAAACTAAAATAATTAAACTTAAATATCTGAAATATGTTGCCTACAATTACAATTTATAGCAAATTCTGAAGATTCGTTGACAAGCAAATAAAATTAATCATTTCTATAACCCCATATAGATTTAAAAGGTTATTTTTTACTTATTTTTGTCACTGATAAGACTTCTTTTTATTTATTAAAATCTGGTATGGTTGGAAAATTTGGAAAGAAACTGCCTGAGAATACTATTTGAGGAAAAGTGACCATTTCAGTGCACCTGGGATAAAATACGGAAATACAATCAACCAACATATGTACACAATAGTAAGCAGTTTTCTCTCAGTAATTATAACCTATGCTATATGTAGATATGAATAAAATCTTCATGATCTGTGTAAGTTGGCAAGAAGAGTGGCACACCTAGCGCTAGGATACTGATATAAGAATTAAATTCATTTATTCTTAGTCTTTAAATATTTTCCGTGTGGCAACATCTATTGTATCCTTTACTTGATTTTCAGACTTTTACATTAGTATTGGAGGGACATACTAATGTCCCTTATCTTAAAAGACAAAAGCCGCAAACATTATATCTGGAAAACAAAATTAGGGTAGGGATTTTGATTAAATTGATCAAGATCATGTTACACAGGACCTATACCTTTGCAGGGCCTACACCTACAGGACAACACCTACACGGCTTACACCTCCAGTGACTACACCGTGTGATAAACTACAGCCCATGGATGAGGTCCTATGCAGTAGATGTAATGAAAAACAAATACAAATAATGAAACAAAAATCTCAAGACAATATTTGTTATAAGAAATTTGTAATATTGTCATGCTGATTGACTACTTTCATTATGCTATAGGAGCATATGTGGCAGTTGACGTTATAATTTATTTTTTTGCTCCTGCATATGCATACATTATTTTTAAATTTGGAATTTCCTGTAAGAACATACATCATGGTTCATATAAAGAAGTATGCAAATGAGTTATCTGCCTCTGTGTGTGATTATCATCCTGATCAAATAAAAGAAGTACATACTTTTGTTTCTATCCACACAAAATAGATGTGCCCCATGAAAATATTAACTATGTCATGTCCCAGCTGATTAGAAGTTAAAAGCCCCGATCCACAACAAAAAATGAGAAACAAAACTTAAATCTTGAGAACTATTGATACCAAAATTCTTAATAGTTTACAGTAATGTATATATAAATATGAGCTAGCTGGCAAGTCACAACCTAAAATGTCTTTTTCATTGCACTTTCTACAACAATAAATTGCCTTGGATCAAAGCCCTTAACAAGGTATGGATGCAGAGGTCATCATGAAGGGTAGTATAATGGCTCCCACTCTACTCTAAAAATAAACTACAAAATATGGTCTTGGGTATACTTGCCAAACATCAGCAGGGTATGTAAGGTTTTATTGGTACTGTATCCTGAAACTATCACCCATATCATGCTGAAGCCTGTCATTTTAACTTACTGTTCACCAGACTATAGCATGTTTACTAGTTTGAATTAATGCAGTGTCAAAATAATACCAAGTACTGTATACAGAGAACCATAAAATATTTGTATAGATGTAAAATAAAACAAATTACTCTATGCACTATGACATACTAAACAAATTTGCATTACCTCATTTACCATTCTCATGAGATGGAGAGGAATCAGCCCAGACAAAAAAATAATATAGAGAAGAAATGTTGTAGATATTAATCTCTGACATGTGGCTGTCATAAAACGTGCACCTAACCTGTGTGCATAAAATAAAGATAAATATTTTACTTTTTTTCTTTTACGGTAGATCGTTATTCAAAAGTATAGAAAAAGTACAAAAATTCAGGTATCTGTTTTAACCTGGGCAGTGGTCAACATATCTTGCAGCACTCATTAGCATCACTGTATATTGTGATAGCAATGATCAATCAAATTCTTGTTTATATTTCACCTGAAGCACAGTACTGTATATTCGAAAGTAAGGAATCGATACGTAAAAGTAAAATGAATGCTAAAATAAATATATATATATATATATAGTGAAGATCTTTAAGTTAGTCTAGGTAAGTGCTACAATCATATGATGGGAGACCAGAAGCTGAAGTCTGACTCTTAAAGTATTTTGTAGCCTCCCACGATTGTTGGGAGACATCATCGAGTTACTGGAACCATAATGGAAACTTTGGTATTTAAGTATCGACATAAAACAGCATTACACTAGACTAGTGTTCTGTGCAACTCCAAGGTAACTACAGGTTCCGCAAAAAATAGTGATAAATATGTTAATTCTAATCATATGCAAATGGATTTTTCAGTCATTTTTTTGTGTTTAATTATTCTCATTTAACCAGTATCAAGAGCAGAGACAAAATTCGTCTACTTTCAGTTGATAAAGAAATCTGTGTGTTTATCTAAAGTATGACCTGGAATTATTTCTAAGATATAAATGGTTGAGAAATGTTGCACTAGATGATCAACATATAATGATGGCACTTTAAGGGCTAAAAAGAAACATAGTATAAGGATAATTCTTTAGCTTTAAAATGCATTTAAGCAACTTATAGCTTGTGAATGGAAGAACACTTAATCATTTGAGCAAATGCTCATTAAGATCAAATCGGAATAATTCATGGCTTTTGGTCAATATTGCATTATGTCAGATAGAAATTTGAACTTTACAAAATAAAGAATATCCTTACAATAATCAAGAATATATTATGATTAACTAAATTTGAGTAACAAAGGTTATTTTGTGTTTAGTATTACAAGACAGGAGACAAACACACACACCCATACTAATCTTGGTGTTCCTCTACACTACACAAAAATACTGTTGAACCTCACAGAGTATACATTATAAATATTATAGCACCTACAATAATTTCTCTAACACAAGATAGATAGACAGAAATAGATAGAGATAGACAGATAAATGGAGACAGTTGGAGATAGACAGACAGAGACATATAGAGAGACAGAGACAGACAGTGAGACAGACAGACAGACATATACAGTGACACCTCGGCTTACGAATGCCCCTATTTATGAACTTTTCGGGTTATGAGCCCAATTTCTTCGTAAAATCCGAATCGGGTTACAAGCTTTGCCTCGGGAAACGAAGTTTGTTGATACGCATATGGCCGACCTAGCGCGTGGTGGCACGGTGATCGATATATATAGCTATAGCATTATATACAGTATAGCTATAGCGATATATATATACAGTATTATATTATATATATGTCGTACCTAGTAGCCAGAACTCACTTCTCAGCCTACTATTCAAGGCCCGATTTGCCTAATAAGCCAAGTTTTCCTGAATTAATTTATTTACTATAATTTTTTTCTTATGAAATGATAAAGCTACCCTTTTCACAATGTATGAGGTCAATTTTTTTTTATTGGAGTTAAAATTAACGTAGATATATGACCAAACCTAACCAACCCTACCTAACCTAACCTAACCTATATATATAGGTAAGGTTAGGTTAGGTAGCCAAAAAAAGCTAGGTTAGGTTAGGTTAGGTAGGTTAGGTAGACGAAAAAACATTAATTCATGAAAACTTGGCTTATTAGGCAAATCGGGCCTTGCATAGTAGGCTGAGAAGTGAGTTCTGGCTACTAGGTACGACATATATATATATATATATATATATATATATATATATATACGTATTAATTATTGGAGGGGATCTAAACATTCCCTCTAATGCTTTATGCGTGGTTTCCTCCGAGGCTACGGGTCCCCCTTCTTCCAGCCAGAGGTGGTACTCCCTTCATATTTTATAATATATATATATATATATATATATATATATATATATATATATATATATATATATATATATATATATATATATATTATTTATTTATTTATTTATTCATATGCATGCATATATATGCCCTTAAAGAAATGCATCAAAATTTATTATATTACATAACTATACTTCAAATCACCAAAAAATGAGCTGTGTGTGAGTAATAGAGTACTGCTGCAAATGAATATGAAATACAAATTTATATTTAAACTGAGCTAGGCTAAACTGAGGGATGAATTTTTCCCCCTTACCATCTTTAAGCTTCCTATTTTACAGCTCCAATTTTACAGCTTTCAAGCCACAATTCAAGGACTAGCTGTTGGAGCTTAAATGAGAAAAGAATAACAAAATATATTTTATACAACTAAAACTTCAGAGATTTTTGGAAATTAACAGTGAAACTTCTCAGAATTTAGATGGTTGCAAGACACCTGATAGGAAGCAACTTATCACTAAAAATCAGCAATAACAGTAAGAAAACTCCCTAATTTGATTTTCTGCTTATATCTATTGAGCATTTTATATGATGTTTACAGTAAATTTAAAAAATAATATGGAATACAAATTATAATAAGAGGTCCAGTAGATGGAATGTATATATAAAAATTTATGTGAATCTTAAAATGTTTGGAAATCTCTATCAAGTAATTTACACTTTTCTAATCAGTGATGAGACAACCCGTCCTCCTAATAGAATGTTGCATTTGACGTATACTCTACCCAAGGCCAAAAATTGTCGCACTAGAAAATGCTAACGGCTCGCAAAACTGACATACTGTCTCATTTTCTGTTTTGGGTCCTCTGGTAGATTAGGATAAGGGACTTTAGTATGACGGTTTCTTGACCGTGGCGACACCTTAGGAGGATGGGTTGGATGCGATACCAGCTTCCCAAGCAAGAGTAAGTCATTCCCACATTTCTTAAAAAGGGGAAGGGAACTATCAGGAGAAACAGACAAGCCATTATGACTATACAGCACTTGGAAGGGGTCAGGATAAGAATTTAGGATGGAATGAAGGGATGGGATGGTACCCAACCACTTTGACGGTTGGGGATTGAACGCCGACCTGCATGAAGCAAAACTGTCGCTTTATAGGAAAGAGCAGCAGAAATAAATAGAATATTTATCATAAGAGATGGTGGAAGTGGAAGGGAACTATCAGAAAGCACCACACCATTACAACTATATTAGGAGGAGTGAGTGAGTATACTTTAGAGTATATAATAGATCATATCAGCAGAGAAAGAAAACCAAAGAATGACTTAGTTTGGTATTATAACAAAGTAGGAGAACTATAGGCGAGAGATGCTCTAGGTTCTGTTTATGAATGACTTGTGGTCAATGCAAAAATATTTTTACTAGTAATAACAAAATTACTATACATTTCCTTCAAGTCATTCTCTTCCCTTCATCATATTACTTAAAACATCTGAAAATAAAAGTACTATATTAACTATAATTTACCAAGAAATATTCTTTTCAACTTAACTCTCTCAATGACAATTCGTGTAATTACCAACGTTTACTATTGCTACAGGATGAAAGCTACGCTTAAGCTGTCCTATCATCCCTCTAATTTATGCCATACAATGTTAGAATCCTCTAATGATGCTGACAAACACTAAGTTCTTATTAAATTTATTCAATTTGTCTATCACTCGGGATAACAAAAATATATGCATAAAAAATTACAGAGTACATAAATTTCTTTTCTCTAGTTTGAACTAGGCTTCTTGTTCTCAATATTGCAATTTAAAAAAAATCCTCCTTATCAATTCTGTTGATGTCACAATTTTGTATGTGGTGATCATATCATTTGTTATTCTTATTCTGCTATGATGATGGTCCCCATTTTCAACCAAAACTAAATTTGATTTTTGACAGAACCATCTGGGAGCATTAAAGTAAAAGAATGTGTGGAATTGGAAAGATAAAATTTCCACTGACAAGATTCACAGATAACCCCTGAAGATAAAGAAAGATTAATATGCACAATATAAAATGCTGAAGTGACTGGCTTGCAAGCTAAATATTGTCCTTTCACACACATCAAGGGAAAAAAATATTTCAAAAATTACATTTTTACCAACAATGTTTGGCTGAAGTTTTAAGAAAAGTCATTCCAAGGTAATTTGAAAGCTTTTAACATAACAGTGGTTTACGTTACCTTGATATCGGTATTATCGTCATTATTGTATCATCTATATTACTAAAATACAGCAGCATCATTAAGTATACATTTTTCATGTTTAAACAACAACATAAAACAACAACTTGCTCAGCACTACTAGTGCTCAAGACATTAAGCTTTCACGAATAATGCCAAAGACTTGAATGTACAGTAATGATATATAGAAACCAAGTGCTGTGTAAACAACACATGATCATGGAAATGTGTAATGTATGCACCAAATTTTAAGTATCAATAACAATGAGAGAGATAACAAAAGTAATAGCGATTAACCAACAATTAAAAAAAAAAAAGGTTGCCGAGGGTACTGTATTTTTGCCAAAAATGGGTTATGTGACATAACCTTTCACTCCAAATAGAAATTATGCAAATTTTTCAACACTGTTAACTGTCAATTATGATATCAATAAGAATGTGGGTTTTAATGCATCGACATCTTGAACATTGCACATATTTTAAGAAGCGTCATAACCATGATAATGTTTGATAATAGCCACAAAGGTTCTCTGAAAGCCAAAATGGAACAGTAAAGTGTCTAATTGTGATCTATACGGCCCTTGGGGGTACCCTCAGTTTGACATGCCTGCATTAGTGGGTGAAAAAATAAAAAATAATGATCAAAAACTTATATTTTTTAAAGACTAGAATGCATATCAGTTTCACACCTACTAATAATATATGAATGGGGTAATCCCAAATTTTGTCTATAGTAGCAGAACAGCAAGAACTAATTACAATATTGTTTATGTATATCACTCCGAGAATCACTCTCCACTCTGATGTGTTCATCTTTATGATCACGTTTAAAGGTCAGTGTATTACTACTCCCAGTAAAAAAGCAGTGTAATTATGTTAATAGGAATAGGGAACCTACCTCAAACCTCAATACTGAGGCTGCTGATTCAGAGTAATGTGATGGGAGAATTAGCAGGGGGGACACCCAATAGGCTTTAGGTGGAAATTTGAAAACAATTTTGTATTCAAATCTATGAATATTTTATGCAACGACACACAACAAATAAACACACCAATTAAGATAAATAAACACCGGTATTGCAAAGGCAGAGTATAAGGATGTGGTATATACTGAGCTACAATGGTATTTGTCCCATGCAGTAGCTGGTGATTAACACCAGTCACTGGCATTAGCAAACTAATCCAATACATGCAATATAATGGTATATTCTGTCTTCAATAAACTTATGCATAGCCCCCGTCATCTACTTCACTGGATTTAAACTTTCCACGCAATAATCTTGTTTTTACTGTCAAACTTTAAAGCTCTTGTAATGGTTTGATGGCCCACTTGTACCTTCGATTTTCAGAGAACCCTTAATGGCTCAAACGAAGTAATTTCATCATCATCATTTCAAAACACTTTCCAAGTGTCGAGATATATCAAAATGCCGCAGGAATTATAATTAAAAACTTATTTGCTAAACAGTTAGATATGCTGAAATATATGAATATTATTATTTCTATTAAGGATAAAAGATAACATTGCATGGCTTATTTTAAAACCATACCATCAATCAACCCCATTTGTAGAGGATTACAATTCTCAACAGTTTCAGACAGGCAGATTCAGAGGGAGATGCTGAACTTTTGTATTCACACAGTTTCCAAAAAATATATATTCAAATAACTTGAGAACAAGAATATTCACCCTAAATGTTCTATTTTTACACAATTCACCTGCAGCACATTAATTATCCCTCAGAATTATTGATGAATGACATTATTAATGTAGCTAACATTGAATTTTTTATGCACGTTAAGAGACTTGCTCAGCAATATAGAATTTCCACAATGTTATAGAACTGTGCCTATAATAAATCAAAATGTATTAAATGACAATATTCCCTAGTGCTTATCATTATAATATTTACAAGGTTATGTGGCCTGGCTGATACGCTTCCCAAGAATCCTTTGAGCAGCTTCAATCAGAGGTTTCAGAGTAGTTGTGCTGACTGCCTTAGTAAGGAACTTGTGAGATAGAAGCTCCTCCGCTGTTGCACGTTTTTCCATATCAACCTCAAGGCATCGACTCAAGAAGTCCTGTGTGCAAGCAAGTTATTATTAATTTTTAATGTAAACATTATGTATTAATCCCCAACATTAAGCATGGTGACCCTTGCAGGATGTCCACTATGTATTATAAGCACTGCACATCAAGTGCACACACATGCCATCACTAAGTTTTAATTCTCATCAGGGGAAAATCTTTCAGCTTTGAGCTAGAACATGTAGTTATTCAGCATCCCCTCACACTGCTTCACTGTATTACTAATTTTACTTACATTTAAACACTTTTGCCATCAATAAACATATTGGATCTCCCCCCCCCCCCCCCTCCCACTTAAGAAGAAATAGAGAAGATATTGATATATATTATAAGATTCTTCGAGACACAGAGTTGATAAAGATGAAATGTTTATGACGATCACAATAAGAGTAATGCACAACAGTAAAAAATGCAGACGATTCAAGAAATAAAAGTAACTATTATGGCAAGATAAAGGTAGGAAGCAAGTTAGGGGCAATATGTTGAAACTACTTGTCATTTTATTAACACATTGAAAGGCAGTATGTAGAAAATAACCCCTCACCTCTGCAAGCACCTCTAGGTGAATAAAAGTCATGAATACAAGTCCATTCTACCTTAAGTCCCTTCACAACAATATTAATCATCTAATTGTTGCACATCTAACAATCAATTTAATTTACCCTATTTCACCTTTAAATCTGGCATGAAATACCAAATCATGATTTGTGGATAACAGCAAGCCCCTAAAAACATGATAGCCGCATCACATAGAAGCAAAATTTTAGAAAACAATAAGAACATTTTGGTTATGGAAGTCATTGTTAAATTCATTAGGTCCATATACATGTTGACCTAACCACACACTAGAAAGTGAAGGGACGACGTCGTTTCGGTCCGTCCTGGACCATTCTCAAGTCGATTGTGAGAATCAACTTGAGAATGGTCCGGGATGGACCGAAACGTCGTCATCCCTTCACTTTCTAGTGTGTGGTTTGGTCAACATATCTCAGCCACGTTACTGTGACTCCTGGTCTGCATCCATATACATGTATTAAAATCAAATTTACAACATTGGTAAAAAATGGGGCAATAATATTTAAAATCATACTCCCAGAACCCCATCAACCATCAAGCAGGTATATGATTTTTTTTTTTTTTTGGCAGGGATATTCCTGCACATTCCCTAAGCCTCTGGCTGGCCCACTAAACATAAGATGATGATAACCACAATGGCTCCAAGAGATAAAAAAAATGACAACGACCTCATCCTGGGGGTTAATTGGCTAGTATGAAGTTAAATAGTTACATACAAATGCATTCCACTAATTCAGTGCTAAAACCTCTATACAAACCAGCATAATTATTTTTATTAGTTTTACTTGCTGCAAGATAGATTATATATACTGTACCTGGAATTCGGGAGTCAATTTATTCCACGAAGGTATGTCTGGCTTCCCATTACACGCAATGAGATAAAGTGCACGTAGTGGTGTCTCCTTCAGATAAGGCGGCTCACCTTCAATCATCTCTATGGCCATTATACCCAGGGACCAAATATCAACCTTTTTATCATAATGTTTGCGATTTACAACCTGCAAAGTAAACATTAAACAAGTCATTTAAAAGTAACACATACTCATGACATTCTACTTGGCTTCTGGGAAAATATCCACAAAATACTTACTTATGAAGTCATCTTATTTCAAATCATATTATGAAGTTTCATAGCACAAGAAATGATAATACAGCATGTGTAACCAATAAGATGTGGAATGCTTAGGCATTCAAAAAAAAAATTATAATTTAGTTACTGTATACAATAATACAATATAATACTGTATACAATGTATACTGTATATAATAAATTACAGAAAATAATTACAAGGATATTATCCTTTTTGTTGTACAGTAAATATCTTTAAGCATATTAGAGCCATGGAAAGAGATTTTGTCAATATTTTGTTCTTGCTTAACACTCGTCCTATAATGAGTAATGGTAAATATGAATACTGCATTCTCTTTACTAATTAGTAATTAAAATGGAAAAGAAAACATACAAAATGACAGATATACAATATATATATTCCTCATATATATGTATTATTGATGTATAATCAATAATACAGTGTATTATTGATTATGCATCAGTAATACATTATTGATGTATTCATCAGCAATAATAAATGCTTATTATTTGTGATGTCTATGTATATTTATACCTCAATAAACTTATTTGAATTTGAGGTCCTAGTGGTATGCCTGCAAAATATAGGAGAGAGAGTACCCCCAGAAATGTCCTCAGTGCCTGATGCTATAATGGAAGGGGACGCCCTTTCCAAACACTAACACCTCTCCTCCTCCCCGTCTTCCATACACCAACAAGAGTCCTCATTAAGGGTAAGATACACTTGTACATACTGCAGTACTTGACACATAGCTCCGATCCGGTGTCAGGTAAGTCCACTACGGGCTCACCATAGCCCGTGCTACTTGCCCCGCTCCTGTGCCAGGTAAGTTATGGGCTCACCATAGCCCGTGCTACTTGGAACGTGTTCCAAGTAGCTGAATCTATAACAACAACAACTACAGTACAAAATATAAGTAGTAGTATGTATAAAATATATTTTTAAGTTAATATTTTTGAGTGTGGAATGGATTAATTCAATTTACCCTACAGTATGTATTTCTTATGGGAAAATTCGTTTCAGTTTACAAATTTTGGGTTTGAGAATCATCACTGGGAACGGATTAAATTTGAAAACGAAGGTACCACCGTATATTGTTTTCATGATCTTCAATCCATTTGAAACACATATTGGCCTGATATTGAGTTACTCGAGTCTCTTTAATACAAATTTGTTTTTAGAAAAAGTTTTTCCTATTAAATTTGTTTACAATTTTTCATGGTATACAGTATATGAAAAACAAATATTCTTTATTAGAAATATAATAAAATAGAGAAAACCAAAACACAAAATATTTGTTTTATAAATTTCAATTTTTTTCACAACTATGGATAAGGATTCTATTTATAATACAGTATGTCCTGGATGCTATATAGCCTGATTTTGTGTTACTTGGGCCATATTTTCTAATAGAATACGGACACAATGTTTCTTTTAATGGCACAGCTGGAATGAAGAAAGTCTTATTATAGTAATGTGTATAGTATAGTATAGTGTATAGTAATGTGAATTAAACAGTTTTACTTCTCAGCACCATTTTGACTTTTGATGGATATTGGACAGAAGTAAAAGTGTTGCACTAAGTGAATGATTATATAAGGGTTAAATTTGATAAAGCCTTACAAGCAAAATATTAACTTGAATAAAACTTTTTTTTTTTCAAATTGGTGCCTCTTCATTTTTTCAACAATATATATTGCACAAAGAAATTAAATCAATTTCTATATATATTCTTAAGAACTTATGTCATATTTCTCTGTGCTGTAGTGCATATTAATAAGGTAAAATAGACAAGCAGTCTGTTTATGTTTGGGGAAAATGTTTGAAAATATTTGCTACTTCTTACATTCCAATAGCATCAAGAGCTTTTGCTATTGTTTAACAGACAACTACTGCCAGAAAAAGTCTTGAAATATCTCCAAGCACTCTTTTTTTTTTTTATATATACAGATGGGTACAGAAGCATTTGACTGCTGTTTTCCCTTCCCATACCTCATATTAAGCTATGGAAAGTTTCCCACTAGTTTCCGCTGAAACATGACCCACTAATCGGTTAACAGCTAGGTACCAAATTACTGCTGGGTGAACAGACAGCTACTGTTCAAGATGCCTCAAACCATTAATATGTTCACAAAAAGATCCTTCGGGTACAACTTCCTTCATTTTCAATAAAACAGTAAATTTAATAATTAAGAAGTAAACATATTACCTCAGGAGCCATCCAGTATGGAGTGCCAACCATAGTCTGTCGTTTCTCATCTCCAGTAATGTTGGCACAGAACCCAAAGTCTGTCACTTTAACAGAACCATCTTTTCCAAGAAGAATGTTGTCTGACTTGATATCTCGGTGAATCACTCCCTGAAAAGTACAAGCAGGCTGCATTCCACTATACAATATATATAAACATTAATGAACTACAGTACATTCATTACAGTACTGGTATTTATTTTATGGAATATAAAGACAAGGAAGGACTTTTCCTTACAGACATACATTTTGATGAAGATAATTTATGCCACACAGAGTATGATGGCACACTGCCGCAATCTGTGTTTCCTTCATTATAGTTTCTGTTACAACATCGGTTAGAGGTCCACCATCAAGCAGCTCCATCACTACCTAGAAGTAAAATAGGGAGGGTTGATCAATTGTTTACTAATTATTTATATAGGCTAAACAAAACATAACTAGGTAAATACAATCAAAGCTGGTTTAGCCATAATGGTTGACAGTTATAATTAGTTCACGGGTGTAGGGGTACATAAGGGGCTTATTTCAATCATGTGTAGATTGCAATACACCAATATCAGTATTTTGAATCAGCCCCAGTATGCATGAAGAAAAACTAAAACAGCAACATCATAATAATAATAATAATAAATAATAATAATAATAATAATAATAATAATAATAATAATAATAATAATAATGCATTACGCTCCACAATGGTTACAAAAGTCAAAGGCAACAATAATGTTTTCAAAATTGGGTCCTCAAATGGACACACTGGAAACTAAGCACTCAAGAAGTGCAAAATCACATCAAGAGAATAAGCAAGACCCAGTGGAATATCAGGAGAACGAATGTGGAAAAATGCTCAACAAAGTTTAATAAATGGAGAAGACAGTAAGCAAGTAAGTATCAAAAGAAGGCAACAAGCTGGGGTGACTATGTAGCACAAATGGAGAGGACAGTTTCAGGGTAAATTCCAGTAGCAACTCAAAGCTGCCTAATATAAACCAATGGTTTTAGTACTGCACCCCATTCAGAAAACAGTCGCATAAGAAATGACAACAGCAGAGGCACAGTCATGAAAAGTTCCAAAAACTCAAACAACAACCACCACAACCTTGAATTGATGACCAGACAAGCCCAAAAGATATTGGAGAAAGGAAGATCCCCCAAGACAGTGGTAAATCCTGGCCTAGCAACAAAACTGGTGCATAAAATAACAAAAAACTACTAAGACAAGATAAGGCAACTAAATCTAACAACCTTAAGAAAGAGAAGGAGCAGAGGAGATATAATCACAATACTGTACTGGTATACACAATACTGAGGACGTGAGCAAGGACAGTCTTTTTCAAGGTGAAGGAGAACAGAATGAAAGGATATATGTGAAAAATGGATGCAATATATATCAGAGATACTGTATAAGAAATTACTCATATGAAGTTCAAGTGTTAGGCACGTGGAATGCACTGGAAGAAAATGAAGTAAGACATTAATGCCACACATGCAGTTTTATGAACAAGTACAGTGGCACCGCGATTAACAATTTTAATCCGTTCCAGCACCAAGCTCGTCATGTGGAAAACTCGTCTTGTGAAACAACAACAAAACTGTCGTCGGAGGTGTCTGAGAACCAGCGGGAACGCTCGTTAATCGAGGGAAAGCTTGTCAGTCGAGACGTATTTTCTGCGAGTGGCTTGCTCGTTACTCGAAATGCTCGTAACTGGAGTCGCTCGTCACACGAGGCTCCACTGTACTGTACTTCATGTGTACTAGAATTCTGAGAATGTAAATATACCAGGTACTAATTGCTAGAAAGCTGGGACCCAAGAGCCAGATTTTACTTCCCAGAGGAGCTGATAAGAAATGAGATAGCTAGAATAAACTCTCAAAGGTAGTTTCTGCCAAAACCACTGCTATTTTTTAAATTATTTGATGAAATGTACAAACTCTACAGAGAACACACCACAAGTATACAGGTACGTAACTCTCTTTCAGTAAATACAAACAGACAATCCCACACATCATCATTTCTATTTCATCTGCTATCTCCACCTTTAAACTTGTTTTGCCTTTCTTTCTCTACTTTTCTTTTTCATCACCCACTTCTTCCTTTTCTGCCTCCACCTCTTTGTCATCCTTTACCATCTCTACCCCATTTCTTATTTTAACATAATGACAAGATATCAACAGTTATGAGAAACAGTTGTCTTTTCTCTTAAGTTAAGAGAAAGGACAAGTGTTACATAGACAGTATGTAACTCTTACTCTTTCCAGAGGTTCCGGAGTGCCGCTCCGGCACCTCTGGAAAAAAATGAAGGCATAAGTCAGAGAAAACATTATCAAATAATAATTACTGCAAGAGCAATGTGAAGATGGATAACATGGCACCAAACCATAAGAGCACCTGCTGTTGTTCTTTAAGAGTTCTAGAGAACCGGTTCACTATGCAGACTTCACAAAAGATTTGCTTACCCATAAGTGATTATTCAAAAGGAATACATCAAGGAAGTTGACCAAATTATCATGTTGAAGTTCTTTCATTACTCTGATTTCTGTCAGGATTAGTTCCTTTTTGGGTTGTTTGTCAAGATCAATATCCTTTACTGCCACTCGACGACCACTAGCTCTCTCCCATGCAATGAACACTGTTCCAGATGCCCTGAAGAGAAAATGTATCACTGGTTTCATAGTTCATATATCATACACCTGTACTTATAATAGCAATTTAACATAAGGCCTATAATCACTGTACTACAGACATGCCTGAATTCATGATTTATTTAACTGTTGACAGAGCATGAATATACCGTACATGCACTGGAACCTCGATTCAGTGAATCTCCAATTGGAACTCTCACTTTCCATGCTGGACTTAATCACCCTATTCAACGAACAATATTTTGATGAAGCAGGGGTTGTGTGGATTTACTTAGGCTGTTGGGACCAAGTTCACAAATGAAGGAAACATTACAAGAAATAGTTAGGGGACCTTGGGAAAGTCACTGAGCATATTGAAAACAAAATTCCCTCTTCGTTCTTATTTCTAGTAGTAGAAGTTTTTGTTCAGTAAAATATGGGCCCTTTTTTTTTTGAAAATTATTTTGTTATTATTATTATTTTCTACCACAGACGTGGCCACACATATACAATGCTAACCAGCATATGTACATTTCTTCTGTCCTCCATGGACAGGGTTAGAGATCTGTTAAACATATAGAAAATGAGATTGTGAGGCTTGGGCATGGGAAATTTGCTAGATGTGGTTAAATCTCTTTACAGAGTAGTTCTCTTGTTGTAGCCCTACATGACAGGTTGAAATTATAATTTCACTCAGTGATATCAGCCCACAGAGCATGGGAACTATTAGGTATGAATGGTAACACTCTTAATATGGCTTCAATTATGTTTGTGCTGACTTTGTAAATGGACTCAACATTTCAAGAAACAGTTGGAGCCTTGGGAAAACTATTGAGAATATTTTGAACTAAATTTTAGAGTTTTCACTTTGAGTTGGCAATGTTTTTGTTCACTCAGGAATGGACCTGCTAACTTTGGAAAATAAGTTTTAAGGCTGGGGACATGAGAAATGAGCTAGATGTGGTTCAATTTTTTGCAGATATATTCATTTGGTAGTTGTCTATTACAGGTTAAAAAGGAAATTTTGCAAAGTAAAATTAGCACACAGGGCATGGGGAATGCATCATGGAGGCATCTCCAGTTGCAACGAATCCCTCACTGCAATGAATTTGGTTTGTTTCCATACAGTTCATTGAATCGAGGTGATACTACTGTATCCTCTAGTAAATATACTGTACTTCAATCATGAGTAGAGGTCAGAAGAGAATAGAGCAGAGTTAAAACAATTAGAAATTAACCGATCACCAACATCTAAAATCAACATCTAAACTGTTGGCAATACAAGTTGTAGAGGATTTTAACTTTACATACATACATACATACCCTGCCCCAAGTTCCTTATCCCGTTCATACACTGTTTCAGGATTCCTCGGGGAACAAATCTGTCTGAAATGCTCCATTACCTCATCATCAGTCATTTTGCCGCTCGGTCTTTTCCGTACCTAGTTACAAAAAATATGAATATCATTAACATTTCCACAAAATAAAAATATATTCTCGTGCATGACAGCCAGATTATGTTTTTCTTGTTGTTGGGGACAGGAAGCCTGTACAGGTCCTACCCTAGGCCAATTACTGACCTTAGTAACCCAGGATGCAACCCCACAACACTTGCCTAACTTTTGGGTAACTATTTTACTATTTTCACCTGAAGCCTCTGCTAACAGAGACATCAGGTGAAAGGAAATGTGCCCAACCAATCGTGTCCTTCCCGGGAATCGAACCCAGGTTCTTCAATTGTAAACTGAGAAAGTACAACACCGTGCTACAGGACCAATGTTCTCTACTATAATGAGTGTTCTTCTAGACTTGTATACAGAGCACAGGAATCAAAATTAATAATTTTGGTCACAAATATTAAAGGGTGACTGAGGTAGGTATTAAACAAAGAACATAAGGTATTCTTACCAGTGATACCTAATAACATGAAGGGAATATAAATGCTAAGATAATGGGGGAATGTAAATGCCAAGATAATGGAGGAAATAAATGACAAGATGATGGGGTGGAGAGGCTGTAAATGACAGGATAATGGGGGAGAGAGTGTAAATGACAGTATAATGGAGGTATGTAAATGAGGAGGATGAGGGGCATGCAAATGTAGGAGGATATGTAAATGCTGGTGGGGGGGGGGGAGGGGGTTAATGTAAATAATGGTAGGGGGTTAATGTAAATGCTGGGGGGGGGGGAAGGTTATGAAAACAATAGAAGGGATGTGTAAATGACTGGAGGTGGGTATGTAAATGATAGGAGACCAAACTGAGCTTTTCTCCAGAACCTTCCCAGCCCGTTATAAGACTCTATATAATAAAATTATAAGATTGAGGGGCCTCGTAGCCTGGTGGATAGCGCGCAGGACTCGTAATTCTGTGGCGCGGGTTCGATTCCCGCATGAGGCAGAAACAAATGGGCAAAGTTTCTTTCACCCTGAATGCCCCTGTTACCTAGCAGTAAATAGGTACCTGGGAGTTAGTCAGCTGTCACGGGCTGCTTCCTGGGGGTGGAGGCCTGGTCGAGGACCGGGCCGCGGGGACACTAAAGCCCCGAAATCATCTCAAGATAAATCAAGAAACCCTTCAGAAATAGTTGAAAGTGTTCCTGGCGTGCCAGTACCCAGGGTGTAATCCTTCCTATTCATGAATCCTCTCTATAACAGTGGATTCTTAATTGAGGGAGCAACTAAATATTATTGATTAGAAAAAGGTGCTAGCACAAAAAAGCGAAGAATTGCGAGAACTTGAATGCATGGGGGAAATTGTATGAACCACCCTGATCAAAAGCGGAAGACAGTCTACTGAATGCACAAAGTTATATGAAATTTGAATTGCCATTAAAGGAAGAGAAAAACCGACAGATCAACAAATAAATAGGCATAAAGTACAAAGATAAAAGTATACAGTGTAAACAGAAAGAATTATTTAAACCATTACAACACATTCAGGAAGACATGATTCATCCTTATGATAATGACCTGTACAGGGCTTTGGGCATTTTTAACTTCAGCTCTATCAACTTGATCAAGTCCTTTGTGGGTAACAGAGAGTGAGTTTGGAGACTGTTGTTCCTTACTGTCAATTTCATCTGGCACAGGCTAGAAAAAACGAAACACATTAAAATACTCTGCAACATTTTTTTGTTAGCTTTAACAATATATAATCATTTAATTACTGTATAGCGATTAAGATCTCATACCACCAGACAGACAACAATGTTTCACAATCTAGTGTACACAATGTAACCCAAAGCACTGTTTACAAATACCGAGACAAATGTTCAAATACTAAAACAATCCAAAGCTTTGGTGCATGATGATATACTTCAGCCCATCCTCCTGTTTTGGTAGTACTTAGAGTAACGACAAGGACCATAGTACACATATCGACATACAACGCAATTAGAAATCTGTACTATTGAATTTGAACGAACCAGAAAAGGTTTTGTGTTCATGTTGCAAAGAAAACCTAAACTAACCTAACCTAACCTTCCTAGGCCTAGTACACACACTATCTGAGGCCTAATATAGTACATGTGTGTGTTATATTTATACTAGGCCTAGGAATATACAAGTTTATTTTTTTAGCTTCTTTTTTTGGACTCTATAAAGTGAGTAGTACCAAATTTTACTAATTGCTTAGTATGTCAATGTTTGTACTATGGTGCACATAGCTATAAAAACTACTATGTATCTAAACAGGAAGATGGGTTGCATACGTTTTCTCCTTCCTATAATTGTCCATGTGTCCCAAGTGACCAAAGCAACATAGCACTCTTCAAGCTCATGAGTCACATATCTCCATACTCCATACCTTTCCTAACACTATTATCTCTCTTTCTCACTCTTCCCTCCAACACCTCACATCGCTTCTCAGACTGTCCATTGCTACTCTTCTATCCCTTCATCTCTTATGCCCATGCCACACAAGTATTTCACATCAGTAGTCAGGAATGATGTAACCACTCTTATGCATACAGGGTACTTCTAGCCACATCTCTTCCATTTTCTTCATTCTGACCAGAGCTTTCACTGATTCAAACATTTATTTGTCTTTCCCAACTTCCCAACTCTGCCCTCAGCTTGGTTTACAGAAATGTTAGCTGTCAATTTTCAGTTTCCTTCTCTTCCAATCACTAGCATTTTACTTGCGTATATTAACGCTTATTAAATACGTTCATGTCACGTACAGTAATTTACATCTTCATATTTGAAATAAAGCAATATCTAACAAAATCTAAAGTCCCATTCCCAATTTCATTAAACTATTTGAATGACATTACAGAACATATTTTGTTAAGTCTTACCTTAATTGCCAATGCATTATTCTCAATTATTTCACCAGAATCTTTATCTGAAAATAAAAGAATTGAAACATTAAATTATTAAATAAAACTTTATAAATAATGTTTTTCATTAATATCCCCCCTTCTACTTTAATGGGGGGGGGGGAGGAGGATTTATTATCCATGAGAAAAAAGGGGGAGCAGAATAGAAAGAGGAAGGTTAAAAATATTAAAAAATGTCCATTCACAACAGCTGGAAAAGTAAAGAATAATGGTGAGACCTTTGATGAGCCACTGACTTCTTGTCCCTGTCAAGTCATTGGCTTCCTGTCAAGGCTTTCAGTTAAATATCAAATGTTCACAAATCTTTTTTATATACATTTTATTCTCATACTACTCCTGATTTCTTGTGTATCTTTGTATCTCTTTGTATCCCCCAAAATCAAGTTTTCTTTATTATAATCTGCTCCTGACAACTGTCACTTCTTCAATTGTCATTTCCCAATTAGCAATTCCACTCATTCTTCTAGTTTTTTTTATGAAACTTTACACAATGGCATTTGTATCCAAACATTCCCTATATATAGCTCCCACTCTTCCAAGATCACAGTCAACTCTTTTGTATTCATTGACCAACTCTTTCCTTCAACTTTTCAAATTTTATTCCCATACCTTGTAGAGCCTTCTGAAGTCAAATTACCCTTATACCATTCAATCTTACACAGCACAATCATGTGATCAGGTAAGCCTCAATGTTATTCAAATTGCTTTCACGTCACATGCTAACACACACATTTCAACAGGCTCTTCACATGCACACCGTTAAATACTTTTTCTACTTATTCATCATTTACTCTGTACCACGTATACCAATGTACAGTATAACCTTATGCTTAAATTATATATGTGAATAGATAACTTTCTATAATTGCATAAATTGTTCAATCAACAGCCAAGGTCATTCATTCCTGGAACACTATTTATGCATAATTTTCAGGGCCCATTCCTATTATATCATTCAAATCACCCATTGCAGTTACATGTAATATGAAAATACTGTATTCAGAAAATGACCAACTGTAAGAGAACATTACACAAAATGAAAACATGAAAAAGTGGATTGAAAAGTAAAATATCTCATCTACCTGCATCTAGCAATGGAACCAAAAAATTATACAAGCATATTTGTGTAAAGAAAATAGGACATTACATCACTACTGTGGTAATAATAGTTCAATGCAGGATGACTAAAATCAGCTTGGATTCTCCTTGAATACCAGGATAGGCATTTCATCAAACAAGACCCTGCTTTAATTGGGACATGTGGATGAGTTGGGAGATTAAATATGGTTCAATAGTGATTTGGTTACTTTTGAGTTTGTTTAGCAATTTCTTAAATTCCAAAAAAAATTCAGGTGGATTATCGAGTCTTGTAGCCTATCCCTTGTCATGAGGAGCTCAACTCGGTAGCGAGCTGATCCGTTATCCTTGGGTGCTTCCCAAGCCTTTGAGGAGGCACGAGGGAATAACAGAAATGTATATGTACATGCATGTTTGTGCATGTATACACAAACATGGGTAGATAGGTAGGTGGGTAGATATTCACAAGAGTCTGCTGTGTTGAATGTTTCCCTGTAGCATTAGTGTCCTAATCAGAATGGAGCTACTGGGGAGGACCTACCTAGATAAAGGTACAGTATAAGCATGACTGATACTAAATTAGTAAAATACAATGAATAAAGGCAAAACAGCATAACTGCAATATAGTTTATTAGTTAAATCATACATACCACTTTCAAAAATATGCTCAATAGCTTCAGATTCTTCTAGAATAACTTGAGGAGTTGGTATTAACTTGACATCTGTTTCCTTCCGTCGTATGGAATACTTCCAAAACTTTACAGCTGCTATGGCAGCCTCTGGATTACTTTCCATTTCATCTTTACTAAAAGAATATTAAAACGTTAAACTACAGTACTGCACAGAACTTTCAAGTGCTTTTGAAAGCATTTGCTTTCAAATATATATGCAGAAGAGCATATATATGCTCTTCTGCATATATAAAAAGCTGATGGCCTGCCAGTAACAAAAATAACATAATAAAATACTAATTTAGTTGTATAGAGCTACACAGAAGACCATTTAATGAGAAGGAACATCCACTGTAAAAATAAAAAATGTGAAACAAACTACTGTACTCTATATAAGGAAAATATAAAATGGTAGAGTTAATTTTCAACATACGTAATAGCTTTCCCAATATAATTTTTCCATGCTTCTGGAATGCCCTCAAAGGACTTTGTATTTGCATTGTAGGTAACATGCACATTGTGCGAGATCTGTGTGGGGGATGATATGTCCATATTTTCAGATTCATGGGGATTATCATCCTTCCTCCCGAATATCTTGATGAGTGCCGCCTTCATGATTGTCCTGAAAAATAGATAAGAGTACTGTACAGTATATATGAATAAAAAAACAAATACTGTATTAATATAAGTACTGTACAGTGTAGTAATGTACAATATTTTAAAGTGCGTTATACAATGCTTGCAAGATAAGAATGAATTTAAGCCTAGGTTTTCAAGGTTTTAATGTTTATGTTTAAAGAATTCCTTGCTAAACTTATCTGGCAGAGATCCCAGGTAATTTGGGCTGCCATCTGGTTTCAGTCCGGTACATTATAGGATGGGTGTTTACCCCACAAAAACTATTGCAATTCCTATTTTTAATGTGATTACAGTATTACATTCTGCCTATTTTTTTTAGGTTTGGGTTAATCTCTGATCCTCAAGCTCCCCGTGCCTCATATAGAGCCAGATTCTAGTCTTGGCTCTCAGTAGGTTTGGCTGTTTCAGTGCTGTAGCTCGGAAAGTTAGAGAGACTGTAGAGTCCTGCAGCAGAACAAACATTTGGGTACCATTTCCTTTCACCTGATGCATCTGTTCATCTAGCATTAAGTAGGTAACTAGGACTTGGACAACTATTGTGGGGTGTGTCCTGGGAGAGGTCAGAGAGGTTAGTTAGGGGACCCTCAATTACCCTAAACAAGCTACCTATCCCCAATTGTGGAAAACCACATTACTATTAGCATTCGTCTTGAACAAACATTATGCATGGAAATTGGCTCCACAAATTTAAACACTGTAAATGTGTTTTGTATGCAGACAAGGAGTCACAATAACGTGGCTGAAATATGTTGACCAAACCACACACTACAAAAGTGAAGGAACGACGACGTTTCGATTCATCCTGGACCAAGTCGATTGTGAAGGGATGAAGCGTCGTTGTCCATTCACTTTCTAGTATGTGGTTTGGTCAACAATGTGTACTGTAGACGGTTTACAGTTAATACATGACTAAGTGATGAGTTCTAAAATGAGTCACATTAAAGCAATGTGCAAAATATTGTTAAGATTCTTGTGGGAAAAATCAGATGCACCTCAAAATACCAGGAATTTCATTACACAAAAATTTTTAATAATACAGGTAGGTCAACTGTAAAATACAGTGCAAGGTTTAAGTGACACAGTAACCAAATCAAATGAGCAAATTTGATATTAAACTCAAACTGAAAACCAGCCAAAGAATGATTTTGAAAATACATTACCATCAATAGGTTTACACCTCCCAAAAATGTTGAAAGAATAATGTTCCAAAAATTATTTTCTACTACAATAAATATAATAAATAGATACTTAAGAAGATATAATCATGTTAACTTGTGTAAGTTATACCAAAATGGTGATTGTGCAAAATGAATTAAGGGTCTAAATTGTTACTTTTCCTGGTGTAAAACTAAGATTTAACTGTGCAGTATGGATATATACCATTTTAAATGTGAATAAATCTGTTCTTATCTTTATCTTATCTTTATGTCATTGTCAGAGTATGAATATCAGAGGTGGGTAGAGGTCTTTACACAAATTAATTTATATATACCTGGGTTGGGTAAGCTAGGGCAGATTGGGATTGATTAGGTTAGATAAGTTTGGGTTTAGCTAGGCTGGAATACTGAATGCCAAAACTAATTAATATTTGCATGCCTTCAATTAGCTGGATAAATTAAGGACCCCAATACCATGCTGTAGGTAAGGGTGGAAAGATTATAGAAGTGTGCTAGCAATCCATTTTCTTCATTTTTTTAGAGAGAGGAAAGGGGGGTATTTTTTTAGTCAGTATCTATTTAATCATAATCCATGATATGCATACTATACTGTTTTAGCTACAGTATGTGTTAAATATATATTGGGTGCTCGAGATCTGAACATGAAATTTTTAGGGAAGAAAAAATTTAGGGTCAGTCAGAAATCTTAACAAAATTGGTTTAATTGGCTGTTGATTGCTGGTGTTGACTTTTTGATATGTAGTGCCTCGCTGATGTATAGCCGCCTGCTATCGCCATACCTATCGATGATTTCTGTGTTGTTTGTTAAGATTTCTTTGGTGATGGTCTGGTTGTGAGAAGAGATTATGTGTTCCTTGGTGTGCAACAGGGAGCCATCAAGGAACACAATCTCTTCTCACAACCAGACCATCACCAGAGAAATCTTAACAAACAACACAGAAATCATCGATAGGTACGGCGATCGTAGGCGGCTTGACATCAGCGAGGCACTACACATCAAAAAGTCAACACCAGCAATCAACAGTCAATTAATGCACAACTATGGGCCAATAGGCCTTCTGCAGTTACTTCTACTCATATGTTCACTTATCCAATTTATACCCATTGTTTCGTGTTCTGTCTTGTATTTGTCACCTCACCCAAAACTTTTGTACTATATCACCTCATCCAATAGAGTATAAGTACGAAGAATTTGTGTGTAAATTTAGTCTTTGAAAATGTAATACGAATTACGAAACGCGTTCAGGCGTCAGACAATTAAAAAATGAATTTCGGAGAATTGTTTTTTTTATTACCACCGACAGTGAAGAAAAACAAAAGAAATATTGAGAAGATTCCTGTTAGAATTATGAATCTTAGTAGCTATATAATTATATGATTTGATAAATATAAGAACATGAAGAACAATTCATGAAGAAGAACACCATATTTCCTTAAGTTCCTAATGTAGATAAAAATACGTAGAGAGAACAGAGTGAGGTAATACAAATCACCCGTTCAAGATAATTTAGTTGAATCATGGACTAACCTCTGTGTGCTTGCCTAAAGCTGTCAACTGTTAAAGGCAGAGTCGTGGCACTCATTAATGTCCGTCATTCAAGTCATTTCAAGTATTATGCTATAGAATTTTATTCTTACTATGTAATTATGTTAACATATATATCAGCAGCCATGTGATTATGATTTAATCACAATTTGGTGTTTCCTGCTGGTGCTTGAATCTACAGTATTTCAGAAGAAAAATACCCGACAATAGCAGCAAACGAGATTTACATACAATATAGGTGTAAATATTATAGACCTATAAAATATTATATTATAGGCCAATATACAGTACAAGTACTCACTGTTTGTGTTAATAAAGTGTAAATATACAGAGTTATTCCTCATAATGTGTTAACAGTGAACATATAAATCATCTAACTTGAACATCACAGCGCTCTCCCCTACATGACAAATTGGCAAAATTGTGACACTAGTCCATGGACTCAATGACCCCATCTTTCACCCGACCATATGCATAAATGCTCAGGAGGGGAAAACAACAAAAATATAAAAAGTATTTGTATAACCCTTCTATCAATTTTACTTTCATAATCTGGAACCAGTCGTAAAATATACGAATAATCTTACTCAATCTAACTACCGAGTATCCCCTGAATGCAACCCATAATAGTTGAATAATGCAACACATAATAGTTGAATAACTCCCAGATACTCGTTTACGAATTGATGAACAGAGGCGTCAAGCAATGTGAAATGTGCCCAAACGTCTCCATCCTGCCACGGGAATCAAATCCAGGACCTTTCAGTTGTAATTTGATGGCAGTGACCACTGTTACAGAGCTTCAGATCATTTATGGCAATTTGCTACAAAGTACTTACAACTCACTGTTAAGTTATAGATTTTCCCAGCAGAATACCGTTACTGAATGCTATAAACTTAAAACATAACTTGCGCATTCAGCTATAAAATGGTATAAAATGTCATGGATAAGACTGGGAAACATCATGCTATTACTTAGTGATGTTATATGCAGGGTTGCCTGATATGCAGGTCTGTAATATTGAAATCTTTTAACCGAATAACATAGTATGGCATTATGTAGTGCATGAGTGTATTAGTCAGCTATTTTATTTATTTATTTATTATTATACATACAAGAAGGCACAATAGGTTGAGAAGTTATGTATGTATTTAGATGATTAAATGGTACTTTTTTGAAAAACCTACTAACACACATAGTATTTTGGGGTAGGGTTAAGATAAGCACTACTGGGTTTGGCCACTAACTGGAAGGTGACCATAATAACAGCCTGTATGGAAGTAACTAATAATTAATAATTATTATTATTTTATTAATAATTTGATTGCAAGTGTAACTTCTAAGTTACCGGAGTGGCCCATCGCTACCTTTGTAATTTGAAATTTATATAAAATAAATTTAAAATTACAAAAGGTCCCAGCACAACCTCTTGGGAACCCCCACCAATGTGTAAACTGACCTCGCCCATGGAATAAGTACACCATACGTCATTTTAACATTTTAAACACATTAGGTTGCGACAAAACTTCACATAATTCCTTTACGTAGGAGTTACTAGCACTGAAAAACAAACAAAATCACTAGTGAAGCTAATCTATGGACGAATATACTCGTGATGAAAACATACCTAACTTCCTTTGAAAACTTAAACAAACTTTAAAACCATATATGCTGTATAAATCCTTCCACTTACTCGACTGAGTAGCTTCAAACTGTGCAATTACTCCTTACTGGTGAATGAGTTAGGAGAGAAGAGTCAGAGCCCCCCCCTCTAAAGCTTCCTGTGTTTACAGTACTGATAAGATAGCCAGACAGCGCCCAGCTCGCATCCTACACCTCAATTACAAGGCAATATATCTTTCTAGAAACAACTCAATACATATATTTATTTACAATACTCTTTAATTTTAAATGTATATACCTCTTTTTAAATGGTTTGAGTATGTATAATGTCAAGGATGGCTATCAGTCTGGCGTTTATATATCAAATCTTTGTGAAATTTATTAAAAAAAATGTCTGGTCTAGAGCTTAATATCATCATCGTTGTCGATATTAATAAAAGGTAACCTCTACAATAATTATAAGTCGCAGAACTGCTCATATACCTGAACATATAGGAATTCCCTTTAGGATGTTGGCCCAAACACCCAATAATTTATATTATTATTTTTAACAATACCTGTAATTGGTATTGTTTTAAACTAAATGGTATGAGAAACCCTGGAGCTTTGTAATTGTTTGATTCATTCGAGGATACTGCCAAATTTCCACGTTAGTCTGAACCCAAACGGCCAATTAATTTGGCGTTCCACAGGGTACATCTGAATTTACGTGAAATTTCCTGGGGACCATACTTACCTGAATTTACCTAAGAGCCACAGCCCCGGTCCACTACGGGCTCACCATTGCCTATGCTACTTCGAACTGTTTGTTCCGAGTAGCTGAATCTAAAACAACCTGAGGGCCACTAACGCTAGTGGCCTCAACGAGGACAAGAAGCCGGCGGGTTGTCGAAGGTCCCACCATATGTACTGTTGATTTTATCGAGCTGGATTTTGCAATTCGGCAGTGTTTTGTCCTTTATTGCTTTGGGCGGTAGGCGGTTCTACGAGTTTATATCACTAAGGATGAAAAAAGCTTGAAACCGTTGCTCCAAATAAGGAGCAACGGGGTCAAGCTCAACAAGCCTCGATGTAGGTTATCTTGAGGTTATCTTGAGATGATTTCGGGGCTTTAGTGTCCCCGCGGCCCGGTCCTCGACCAGGCCTCCACCCCCAGGAAGCAGCCTGTGACAGCTGACTAACACCCAGGTACCTATTTACTGCTAGGTAACAGGGGCATAGGGTGAAAGAAACTCTGCCCATTGTTTCTCTCCGGCGCCCGGGATCGAACCCGGGACCACAGGATCACAAGTCCAGCGTACTGTCCGCTCGGCCGACCGGCTCCCTGAAAACTGAAAACAGGAGATACTTTCACACCCACAGTGTTATAAACCCATGAAATCGCCTACCCGCCTAAGCCGTAAATGCGAAAATTCTACTGAACTTTAAAATCCAGCTGGAAAAAGTCATCAGGACAAATGAGGAGACCTTTCTTAAACCTGTCCTCGTCGAGGTCACTAGTATGTTAATGCCCTCAGGTAAATTCATGTTTTGAATTTCATGGTTTGTTTTCAGTCCGCGCTTATGAGTTCGAAACCGTTGCTCTGGTTCGTCTAATTACCCAAAGTTTCCTAGTATTACGTAAGTAATGAAGAAATATGATAGTCTTCTGACCATTTGTGGAGTTCCCTTCTTTGCAAGGCCTCAGTATCATTTTCACTTTCCCCTTTACCATAAATCTTAGTATCATCTACAAATTTGATTATGTGGTGGTTTGTAATATACAACTCATCTATGTAAGTGATGTACATGACAAAAAAGTATTAGCTCCAAAATTACCCTTGCGGTACACCACCCCCCCCCCCCCACTAACAACATTTCTCCAGATGCATTTCCGTCTATCCATCACCCCTTGCCAGGACAACTGCACTTCCAGCTGCACCAGTGGGGAAGTGTAGGGAACCATCAGTGTATATAGTGTTACGGTTATCTCCTGCATAGCAGTAGATTCTGCCTGTTCCTTACGACCTCAATATCCGTATGCTCCAACATCAAAAAACACCAACAATACGAGCCAAAACGTATTGGTCAGTATCTCCTCCCCCCCCCCCCCTACTTTCACGAGCGGCATACCTGCCGTCTCGTCAGCTCCCCAGACAAACTATCATGACCGTCGTTATGCTGCCGGTTCCTCCTCAAGACTCCGATTCGCGCCAGTGTGACGTCACCGCCTGTATATATACATAAACCCAGGCCGAGGACTTGGTCAGACCTCCAGTATCATCTATTGATACTGGTAATAGCTCAAAAGGGCCACCACTTACGGGCTATTCATGCCCGTGCCACCTCTTGGGTGGCTTAATCTTAATCATCAATCTAGCTCAAGCCACAATGTAGGACTGACAACAGGAGATGCTTTTTCACCCACAGGATTAACCCATGGAACTGCCTACCCGCCAAAACTGTGCTGAATTTCAAAATATATCTAAAAAAGATCAAGGCAAATGGGGGGGGGGGACCTTGACAAGCCGCCGGCTTCCTGTCCTCATCGAGGCCACTAGAGTTAGTGGCCCTTGGGTAAATCAGATAAAAACTAGTATACTTATTAATGTTTATTTACTATGTATACAAATAAACATGTACTGTATAGTCTTTTAAAACAAAATGAGGATTTCTGATGGAGAACTGCAGTTCTAAGCCAGGCAGTTCTTCCTCACAAGACGTGTCAGTAAACTTAAGTCCCATGATACACAAAAAGCTTCAAAAAGAAAAGAAAAAACACCGACATAATGCGCTCAACAGCTTTAAAGAATTATAGACCAAACACTGCATTCAGAAATTAATTTCTGCTTTTCAAAATATAATCTGCTGGTTGTATTCCGAATTAAAAAATCCTCTCACAATACAATAGTAAATACTGTAACAATGTGTAGGTTGCAGCCTAATATAGAGGATTACATGCTCGAGAGGAAAAATAAAAAGGCCACGATGCATAATTCAGCAGTGCAAATAATTCACGTATAAAATATTTTTGTTCCTGAGTTTGCTTATAATATTGCACAGTTTTAAATTTCAAGGTACTTTTGAATAGCTAATATTTATTCTCAAATCTATTACTACCCTACAGAAAAACTTAACATTGTAAATAGTCTGTTAAACAGAATCCCCCAGATTTATTGTTAATTCAATTAATTTAAACTTTACAATAAGAGCAAATTCAGTACTCAAAAGTTTATGGACTTTGGATTGAGTGTATCAACATAAATACTGTACTGTGAACACTTACTAAATAAATGAATCATGTAAACAAGTTTACAATACTAATTCCCAATCTTCTTTTAATATTTAATAATAAATTTGTCACCAGACACCCCTATTAAAATATGGGCAGGAAATAAGAAGTACAACTTGCAGTACAAATCTCCAAAATAAAAAGAGGACTACCACACAATGAGATTCTGCACATACTGTACTGTACTATCAATTTCAAATGTAATACTGTTGGTAATACAAATACATTGCATACTAATGAATCCAAGATTTAATAAATGTTTTGCTACGCAAGTTTGACCTTTTGGCTATTTATGTTAATGTACTTAAACGTTGTTATCTTGCTCTAGTATGCTACCCTGTTTGTACTAAATAAGTTTGAAAATGGTATCTTGTGGGCTTGAAATTTTATTTCCTACTTCCCACTTGGTAATTCTCTTCTTTGAGAAAGTTGGATTCAATGTAATCTCTTCCAGACATTTTAAATGTCATAAAAAGTGCTAAAAATATTATAATAAATTGCCAAACACTGCACAAGATTAACATGTTTTAACTATTCTATAAGTGAATAAAATGATACTGGTCTTGGACAGGCTACCACAGCACAGTGACGACTATGCATGGACATTATAAAACACCTAGGAGGAGCACCTGCAAGATTTTTAGATAATCAGCAGGAATTATAACAATTACTCCAGTTTATTACTTCACTACCATTGCAATCATTAAAAGAAAATTACATAATCCTCTAAAACATGCTAATGCCTTTGCATAATATCATGGGGCACTTTATTATGCCAAGGCTAATTCAATTTAGGCCCTTAGAATGAATATGACTAGCTCTAAAATACCACAAAAAGTAGCTCTCGCTTATCCTAATGCAAAAGAAACTCATAGTTTGAGGCATTGAACCACAGGCAACATATGTATAATATGAACCCAAAACTCGTGGCCATGGATAGGTTCACAAACATCCACATCATTATTTTCTCACGCACACATTATCCAGAGAAACACTCACCTGATTAGCTCCATCAGTTGCCATGGTTTCTTTCCAAACACCTACAGAGCATTACATGCCTAAAGATTCACGTAAAACACATTCATGTTAAAATATTGACAGTTAAACTGTCACAGTAAAAATCTGGCATTACATGAAAATACATACAGTATAAAAATGTTTGCACTTTCATTAAACATGCATTGAACCATTGTTACAAGCCTTGATTTATTTTATTTACATACCAATTTTCATTAATCATTAGGTTTATAAAAAAAATTCCTGAAGATTTGTAATACGTTTTCTGTCATTTGTATCTGAAACATTCTTGTATGCACATTACCAACATGTGCATACAAATCATTACATAATCAGTATTGTGTAAGTATATATAGCAATTCTAAGTGATAATAGCAATATCTTTATGTAACTTCATCTACATTATCTATTTAAAATTCTTGGCATCTATGATTCTAAAACATCCAATGACAAAGCTGGTAAATGTGAATTTCATTGTTCAACTATATTTTCACAAATTTAGTGTAACTTGTGGCCTTCTCAACACTGAGATGTAGAGTATTTAATTGATGAATTGAAAAAAATAATAAAATGCTTAAAACCAAGTATAGTATAAGAACTTTTGTGAATTACAAACGTCTTCAACAAAATATCAAGTCTTGCAATCAAAAATACTGTAATATTAACACTTAATAGTCTCCTTAAAAAAAAAAAAAAAAATAGAAATGAAAAACATCAACAGAATTGTTTATGTACAATTTAAGATTTAAAATATAATAAAACCTCTTTAATTATCAGTAAGAAATGTGTTCTAGATTCATAAAAATATTTTAATCTAAACATTAACTCCAGAATCTTCTATTGGATTCTATTATTTAGAGGAAGCCAGGAAAAATTAATACTGTACTGTATTAGTGTTTCCACACCTGTTACCCCCAAATGAACTGAATGGTATATGCATATTGTTTCATTAGTAGCTACCATATTGATCAACAGATCATCACAAATTATGAAGTTTAGGTTTTATATGCAGTATGCAAATTATTAAATGACATATATGTGTCTACCTGTCGAGGTAATGTACACGTAATGGCATAGCCTGGTTCTAAAGTCATGGGGAGCGAGAACATAAAGGTGCTATGACATACCAAATTTAAATTCATTAAAAACACTTGTACATTATACTGTATTTAAAATAAAAACACAAGGAAGACACAGTTTTAAAGGAAATACAAACTTCAGACACAAATTAGACACCAACCCACAAATCTGAAAATAAAAGAATTTGCAACATTTCAGTTCACCCTTTGACCATTATTATGTCATTTCAATACAGTAGTTGATAATGGTTCAGGATAGACCGTAATATCATAAATTCTTATAAATTTAGATTTGTGGGTTGAATGAAGTACATAATAGTTATGTTGTATTTAAAATCAAAACATGTTTTGTTACTTAATTTTCATTTTAAATGTAAAAGGAAAACAAAACAGTATTATAATATGAAAAATGTGTGAAGCGGCTACAACAGCCTCTTTTGTCTAGGCTTTATTCTTGCAAGGTTATGTACTGTATTTATTGCAATCCACCTCGATAGCCAACTGTCTTTTAATGGAACGCAAAGCTAACCCAGATAATCTTGGAACGCAAAGCTAACCCAGATAATTTATCTTGTCTATTGTAGAATAAAGGTCCAATATGACTGCTTGAGCCTGTTAAAGGATCGTTCCACAACTGCACTATTGTTTTGGTTCTCCAGATGCCAGTGGTCACCACAGGAGACTAAGTAAGTGATTATCAAAAAGAAGGCACAAAACCAGGAAGGCTATGTAGCACCATCAAATGTGCGAAATAATCAGAGGGCGCTAAATATCACCAAGGATGTCAATACGAGAACAGACACACATTAGGCGAACGATATCAAAAGTATCCGATTCACCAAGAATTCTATCGAGGGACAAGTGACCACGAGGGGCGGGCGGTCGGAATGCAAGACACACGCTCGTCCAGAAAGTCAGGACATTCAACAAGGATACACAGGAGACTAAGCAAACAGGTCAAAAGACTGGGAGATTGGTTGAATTAAGTAATAAGTCCAGGAAGTTATTCCAAGGCCATGCCATGAAGTAAAAAAAAAAAAAAAAATGCACGTGATAATGAGGTTCGAGTTATTGCACAAATCGGTTTAAAATTGTTAAAAAGGTGTCACTTTTGAAGGAATGTGCTCAAAATAAGGGACCACTCATCCATACTCATCCAGAGTATGGATGAGGCTAAAGTGTTAATAAGTAAATATGCCACTGTGTACACACATTCTATTTCAGCAATGCTGCATTATTCATTGCTCTGCCAATCGGAACTTATAAATTAAAAATGATTTCTTTAACCATACTGCCCTAAATCTTGTTAAAAATATTGAAAACAAATGTTAAAATCTATGAAAATACAGTACATCAGAATAACTAAACATATAAAAGTAGCTGTTGTAGTACTGTGTGCATTTTGCAGTGATGTTACCATCATATTTTTACATCAAACTTCATATGAAAATATAAATTAAAAAAAAAAAAAAGGCAGTTCCCAGATAGATGTACCTTAACCCTTACACTGCCAGGTATGCACTCAACCATGTCAAAAATGAGAGGAACACTATGCATTGCATGTTCTCGTGCAATTTGATGTGATGGCAACTTACAGTAGTTAGGTTTTAACGTGTTATCTGTCAATCAACTGTAGTATTAAAACCATACCCAATTTCAAAATGTTTAAATGTAAATAAAAATTAAAACTAACAGTCTGTCCTATCAGCGCATTTCAACCATTAATGTTCCGGCATCTTGGGTCCCACTCAGCAATGCCTAAAATGTTTATACAGCGAAACCTCAATTGAATGAACCTAGATTTGGCCAATCTCCAGTTTTAACGCACATTTATCCATGCCAGATTTACTCACCTGACTTGAACAAGAGTTTGGTAAAGCAGGAGATATGCAGATTTGCTTACGATGTTGGCATACTGGTAGAAACGTTGCCCATTATATCACAGGTTAAAATTAAAGATTCCCTAAGCAATATCAGCCCATAGAGCATGAAAAATATTAGGGTGTGAATGGTAACACTCTTAATAGGGGCCCCAATCACCTTGTTAATGATTTTTCAAAGATGGACACAAGATTAGAAGAAAAGCATTACCGTATTTGCCGGCATAAAAGTCGCACCCTCGCATAGAACGCACCCCCTATTTTACAAGGATATTTTGTGGAAAAAACTATTTTAGTATGTTTCATCATACATGTATTGACTGATATTTTAAGCTGGTTTTTGTACCCCAACTCTTACCTCCTCTAAAATAAGCTGTATAGTTGTTTATATTTTTGGGAAGAGAATTGCTAACAGGATGTGAAACTTTTATTTCTGGATGTGATGTTTTGTGTTGGTGCATCAGGCCACCAGGGCAGCACACCATCACAGCACTCTGGTTTTGTTGTCATTCGCCCATTGCAAATGGCCGACGGGCAGATGAAAGTTTAACATTCCTCTCAAATTTCTAGCAGCACTTTTCCATTTAGATAATGAATAAATGTTTTTTAAAGGTAATACAGTCGTTAAATAATATATGCCATATACCGGGTGTGAATTATGTATGCTGGGTAAGGTGGCAAGATGTTGTGAGCTTGCTTTATAACTGCCGACGCATTGTAAGCAATTTTTCGTGATTTTGTGAAAACTGCTTGTTATCAATAATTTATTATTAGTAACACAATTTACTCTAATAATTTGGCTTGTTTTCTATATTCTATTATTGGCAACAAGTTTTGTGCCTAGTGAACTTGCATAGTATGCACGTCCCACTCTCATCCATAATACGGCCACATTAGAGACTGCAATTTTCTGTTACGTTTAAAAATATAAAAAAATGCGTCTTATATGCCGGCAAATATGGTAGTTGTCTTTCATATAACAGGTTGAAATTAAAATTTTGCTCAGCAAAATCAACCCATAGAGCATGGGAAATATTAGGGTATGAATAGTAACTTAATTTGGCTCCAATTATGTTTTTAATGATGTTTGTAGATGGATGCAACATTACAAGAAACAGTTGTGGCATTTTATTCTAAAATGTTTACATATGAATTTGCTACAGTATAGTTGCCATACGAAATGGGTTTTATAATAGCTTATAGATGACAATGCTGAATATGTGAATTTTAATGAACATTTCAATATTCCTTGTATATTTAACATTCCTCAATAAATAAAAAAAAAAATAGAAATGTGCGCACATTATCTGTATATATTAGAGTAAAAGAAAAACCTAACTTTCAAACTTTTCTGGCAAGTAGTTTGCAAATACTGATAATATTCACAAGCAGAGCAATTATTGTTTCGAGTGATAAGTAGTTTGCTAGTTTGATCTCCGGATGGTTCCCCGATAAGCACTATGCTCCAAAACTTAAAAAAAATGGGAAAAAGTGATTCTCTGTAATTTTGAGAAGAATAAAGCACTTCGGCATCACCAGAACATTTACTGTCAGTATGGATGAGGCTAAAGTGTTAATAATTAAATATTTTTTAAATGGTAGTAACAAATTTAAGTTATAGAATGCATTAATTCAACAATTTACTATCATGTCATAATGAATATAAATACAGTAGTCTCAAAACATACAAATGTATCCTATTGTTGGAGACAAGAAGCCTGTTAAAGCTTATTGAGATCCTTTTATACAGCCAACAGCAATTTTTTTTTTTTTTTAGGAAGATGCCACCCTCAACAGTTGGCTAACCGACATGCACGTATTTACTGCTAGGTGAAAATAGGTATTGAGACTAAGGAAGCATGATCTTACATCTCTCAATACCAGGATACCAAACAAAATCGGCTTCTTAGCACAGCTTTACAAATGAGCCAGCCAAAAACTCTGATGGAGATATCTGTAACTGTAACTATTGAATCTGAAGTTTTTTTTTTGTTTTTTTACCATAAATGTGGATAGCCATCAGAAAATGTAGCTGTGGGGTAAGGGTTAAGGCCTCTTTTCTGAGGATATCTTGAGTCATCCTCCTTTACAGTATCTTTATGCAAGATGCAAAGCAATAGTTGTGATAATGACCAGTTCAGATACTGTGTATACTGTATTAAAACTATTGAAATACTGTATCTAGAATTCAAAGTAAGAAGAATCTTAAGAGGTTTTATCCTATTAAAAATCCAAAACAATATAGTTTTTATACAATTTAAAGTAAACATTAAAAATATTTAGTATCACATTGTCATTAAAAAATCACAAGCCATGTTATCTACCTTTGGGATCAACTTCCACATTTAACACTAGAATAGGTGGTTTAACCACCACCATCTATCACACAATGTTTAGCTTACTATAAAAGATGGTAAAATGACCACCCAATTTGTTATACCCAAACCGTGTTGTGTGGGAAGCTTAAAGATGGAACCCATCCCCTGTTGCTCAGTTTATTCGCTTTCATCACTGAAGCCTTCTGCTCCCATTGAACTGGAACCAGGGCCTCTTGGATCTTCATTTTTATCAGTTCTAGACACTGAAAATACACACACAATCTAATCACATTTACTGTTTAGAAAAACTATTTAAATTCAAAGTACTGTACTGTATTTCTCATTAAAAGCATCCATATCAGCCACACATTGACCCTATCCTGCTTTTTCTTCTTTCTCGCCTCCCTCTCAAGTGAAACTTTTAAGATTTCATAGTACTTTATTCTCAATATGACCAAGCCGTCTAATTACCCTATCCTTCTGCAGACGTCGAGTCACAATAATGTGGCTAAAAAGTTTATACCGAGCCACACATCCGAAAAAAAGGTTAGACGTATCTGTCTGTCCTGAACTATTATCAAGTTGTGTAATGGTCCAGGATGGTCCAAAACATCCTATTTTCATTTTCTGATACGTGGGTTCGGTATCTACATTATCCTTAATACTTTATACTTCCTGTCTTACATTTTACCACCTTTTTTCACTCAACAAGTACTGTACCAAGAGGAACCACTTCTAACTGCATCCAACAAGATTGTCCAACTGCCTTGTCCAACAAGATTTCCAGTGGTGCAAGTCTCACCTTATGAAGAAACTTGGTGTATTGCTTGGAAAGGAGCTTTTTCATATTCAAAATTTAATATTAAATAAGCAGTAAGTACCCAACTTTTCTGATGACTTACCTTGCTTCCGGAAGAGACCACCTTTGCTTCTCACAGTATTGTAGGATCCACATGCCAAGCACTTGTAACCTAATACGTGGAATGCAGTCAAGGATTCCTGAGGAAAATAACAAATTACAACCAAGAAAAAATTAATCTACTAATCATTTCAGCCAGTTAACAGAATTAGCCTCATACATCTACCATTCAACAATAAAGTAATAAAACAAGAACAGAGGATAAACAAGTACAACTGTTCTTTACTGCTCTATAAGCCACATACCTACAGTGATTCAACGGCACCTTTGTAAAATGATACAGTATAATAAGCACAATTGGATAAACAGTATAATTAGAGTTCATCACACTTTGCTTGATAAATCACAATCATGGATATCCAAAACATGGCTACATAGTACTTCACTAATCTAAAATACAGCTTCTGTATATGCATTATATAAAATTTCAATACCTTGTGACAGTCCCGACAGAGAACATTACAAAAGAGGTCAGCATATTCGGTTGGCATTGGGGTCTCCTCAATTTCCTCATCTAGCGATTTCCATAGCTGAAAATATGTCGGGGAAATATTATTGAAATGCTCGAGGTGACATGAAAAATAATTTCCTTTCAATATAACTCAAAACTTATTCTCAAAGTGCACAACCACCAGCAAATGCACTTTTATAACATAATCACATTAGGAAATACCGTCATATCACAATACCATGATATATCTTTATGAAAATCATTGGAGCATATCATTGATCACCCCAGACCAGCCCCTAGTGGACAACTTGCAACACAAGGGTTAATGGGTTAAGGTATGCAACTGGGTTGACCTACGATGCTCGTTCGACCATGTCCTGCTCCAATGTTTTTTGTACCATAAACATGTTTATACATACCTCTTTCATTTTGATCATGGACGTGCCACATGTCGGACAAGCATAAAATCCTGCTTTAATAAGATCATGAAAGCATGGTCGATGTATTAGATGGCCACAAGGAGGAACATGCGACACAATCCTTGATGTATGGATATCCTCTAAGCAAACCGGACAGTTTGCTTTGCTCATCTTTTCAATGCACTGAAAGAGACAACTTATATTCACATGGGCTTCTTCAACAAGCATGCAGTGTATATGAAAAATAAGATTCACAAAAGATCAATTTTATAAGATTAACTACGCCAGTGCTCGCTCTTGACAACCTGTGAACAAGATAAAATACAGCAAGCAGATTTCTGGAACAAATTACTGACTAACATTATAGTTGTGGAATTTTTTAAATTTAGACTAGACATGTATGGTGACTCCCAAAGTAACTTGGGCAGGAAAGAGCACAGGCAGGTTAACACCACACTTCATAGTTCAATATCAAGACTTCAGAAAATGACTTAAACAATTCTTCACATTATGACCCACACTATCATCTTAATTTACAAAATCAGGTACATAGCACAAATAAATAATTATGCAAGTACTAACCTTATGACTATTCTCCATATCTCTCGGGAGACACAATTCACAAGTATTACAGTGGAAATACTTGACTCTGCCACCCACTCTGCATAATCCGCAGCCTTCACAATGGTACTGTTCTTTGTCTTCATCATCATAAAGCTTACACAGGCGGCAAAAGTACTGTCAAAGAAATGGTAAATATGCATGTGCTATTACGTCCACAATATATTATAAGATATACTGTGAAATGAAGTGAGGAAAATTGATTATGCAATTTTCTAATAAAAAAGCTGCATAACAATCATGGCTAATCTTAAAAGATAACTTTTAAATAACAGCACAGCTCCACGACAACCTTCAAACAAAACTGCATAATTGTTATAGAATTTATATTACTATATTTATAAGAGAAGCAGAATAAATGTCCTCCACTAAAAATAAACTTAGTCAAAGCCTAAATAACATTAAATAATTTTATCAGCAGAAAAAACACAGTACAGTATATGTCTTACATTTCCAAATATTACACCACAATTTTCATTACTGCACGTCTGACTCAGGGGCTGCTTTGTCTGGCAGAGCATACATTCCACCTCCGATATATTTGATCTTTCCAATGGGTGATTTTCGCTGGCATTGTGGCAAAATCGACATATGTAGTTGTTTTTGCAGCAGGGACTCTGAAATCAGTTAAAATTATACAAATTAATTTATGTTTAAAGATACAGTATACAGTATATTAAGCCTCCAAATTAGCTTTTACTGTAGTTAAATCTACGACATTTACCAAAATTTAAGTATTGTATGCGTACAGTACCCTAATATGTGGAAGTTGCAACTCCATTGCTCACCACACAGCCCAGCATCCCCTGTGAAACAAAATTAACTGGGTTTGAGGCCTCATCTTTACACAGAAACTTAAGATCGAAGGCAACATATATGGTTGTATAGAATAAAGGAAGGGGGAGATAAGGCAAATGATTAGAAATGCTGAATCATTGTACTGTGTGGAATGAAGTACCCTTGTAGAGATCAAGAGAATTAGAATTACAGTACTAAAATTATAAAGGCAGGATTAAGAGAAATGAAAAGTATAAAGGAGAATGATTGTGTCTTGCATTATCAATGAACAATGTGCAATAAGTGACATCCTGTGATGCACTACCAACCTGTCCTCTCAAATAATACATCATAATTTAATGCTAAAATCCCCAATTGACAAAAATACAACATACTATGAATCACAGCAGCTCACAAAAACACACATTTTCTACGTGTGGGTTGGCTGGGTCGGTTAGGTTTGCATGTTTCAAACTTTAGAAATGGACAAGAGGCATTAAACTACAGGTCTGTGTCCCTAACTTAGATATCGTCATGCAAGATAATTGAAAAGATCATAAGAAAGAGGCTAATAGAATATCAGAAGAGAAAGGGCTTTAGAACATCAACATAGGTTCAGAGATGGCATATTCTTCCTCACTAACTTTACAGATTATACATTCTTACGTTGTAGATTTCAGTAGGCAGCTCTTATACTGTTTGTATCTTGCAGCAAATGACCGATATAAAAAAATTATTCATTCCTTCGAAGCCGGCCTCTAAAACCCTAACACTAATGATATTTGTAAATTGCTTTAGGAGCACAAAAGCTATTTCCTTGTAAACAGAACTGAAGTATTGTAGTGCAGTTTCCAATTACTGTACTCCCTTTTCTGAATTCACAATTATTACGTTAGTAAACTAATAGTTTTTAGGTAATCAACTAGCCTTTATAAACGTTTTTCTCATCAATGTTGCCAACAGCTAGTTAATAACTGGTCATCAGCCATGGGTCTTCACTCTCATACAGACTACTGATTATCCTTTTACCCTTTAATCAATGGCAAAGACCCTGCCTCAATTCACGGACAGATTCCAGAATAATTCAGTTTGTCTACATTAGAGTTAATCATGGACAGAGATAATAGTGTTACTGTGCCGAGAACTATGATTTTTCTAAATATTGCAGTATGTATAGATAATGTCCCTTGGTGAGCAATGGGTGAAGTAGTTCAAATGGACATACTGGGGAAGGTGAACCAAAAAATTCTTTCGCAAAGATCCACTGGATTCAATATCAACAAAGTGGTTTCTTGTGTGGGTTGGGTAGCGAGGTGCTCAAACCATTATATGGTAGGTTGCTACTCTATGTTTAGCTTTCCTTTATAACTATTGATGTTTATTTACACACTATATTTATTCTGAACTTTATGCATTATAAGAACAAAAAAGTCCTAAATGTATCATTGTGGATAATTTCCATATGGTTTAGCCCTCACAGAACTCTGTTATCGTTCAGCAACAATTTTAAAGTGAGAATCACAAAAACAAAGTTGGTGGCCACACGTCCCTTCAGGAGGAGTGGATATAGGAAGCTTTACTCATCATCATGAAGATGATGAAGGCCAGAAAGGGATAAGTCAAGGCCAGCCAAGCGTAGCCCTTCAACCCACGCAAACCTAAACCTGACTCCCTCACCAGCACCCTTCTTACCACACCTTCCTCGTGCCTCTCCCCACCACTCCGCATCCTCCACGTGGTTACAAACTCCGTACTCACTACTAATTTGCATTTTCTCTTGTAGTGTTTACACCCAAGTGCAGTTTTGGCGTGTGTGTCTGGAGCAGCAGCCGCAACACCTACCACCTCCTCGTCAGCCATTACGTCCGGACTGGTGCTTCTTTGGCTCAGACTTGGGCTACCGAGATGCACCATAATATAACCATATATTTATCAATATATATACTCTTATCCTATTATCCATAAAGTTCCTGTAACAATAAAAAAAGACGTCCATTATAATCCACACACACAGACACACATTAGATTAATAAGACAATGGGAAATATGATCCACTGATATTGAGTGAATGAAGCCAAATGATGACACCGTCGAGACGCATGTTTTTCACTGAATCAGCTGTTACGTACCTCGGGCGTCAGCTGCCCTGCAATAACCAGTTACGCAGCTACGCCCTTCGCTAACCAAATGTACCCTTCACTGACCAGCTACTCCCATCATTGATCAACTGCATCCTTCACTGACTAACTACTCCCTTCGCTGACCAACTCCACCCTTCACTGACCAGCTATTACCCTCACTTATCAACTGGGTCCTTCGCTGACCATCACCCTTCACTGAACAACGTGCGCCTTTCACTGAACAGCTGCACCCTTCTCTGGCTAACTGCGACCTTCACTCACCAGCTGCGACCTTCACTCACCAGCTGCACCTCTCACTCACCAACGGCACCCCTCACTCACCAGCGGCACCCCTCACTCACCAGCGGCACCCCTCACTCACCAGCGGCACCCCTCACTCACCAGCGGCACCCCTCACTCACCAGCGGCACCCCTCACTCACCAGCGGCACCCCTCACTCACCAGCTGCACCCCTCACTCACCAGCGGCACCCCTCACTCACCAGCGGCACCCATCACTCACCAGCGGCACCCCTCACTCACCAGCGGCACCCCTCACTCACCAGCTGCACCCCTCACTCATCAGCTGCACCCCTCACTCACCAGCTGCACCCCTCACTCACCAGCTGTACCCCCTCATCAACTACACCTTTCACTCACTCATCAACTACACCTCTCGCAATCATCAGCTACACTAATTTTTTATTGTAATTGTACATCCAAGTTTTATTGTAATTGTTTATTATATTCCATCGTCACACACCTCCCCAATTTCCAATCAGAATAACATTAAAGTCTTTTCCATTCTTACTCTATGCAAACTACCATTGACCCTGAATTAAATTTGCTATAAAATATCTACAATAACCAGCACATTGATTATCATTGCGGGAACCGAGGATGCAGCGGGCATTTCCCCTCTGGATCTGGTCCCTTGTAGCGTCATTGAGCCTGGAACCAAGATCCTTAAGAAACTTCCTTCAGACCACAAAGGAAGAATTGAAACAAGAATTTCCTTAAGTACTTTCGTATTTAATAATACATCTTCAGAAGGGTCCTTGTATTCATGTATTCATTTTCAGAATACATCTTAAGTACTTTCGTATTATTAAATACTAATGTGTGTGACGTACAGTGTTTGTATGTTTTGTCTTATTAAAGAATTGGTTAAATAAAGTCGAAATTGAGAAGGCTCCCGTTTTCTTATATTTATTTTTATCTTCACAAAAAACAATATATCAGCATAATTAAACAAGGATTTCATCTTCTTTTAAACCTCAAGTGACACAGAGGGTGCGGGCCGGCCACCTCCCACCCGGCCTCGTCTGCTGAAGACATCATGCGGGTCTCAAACTCCTTCACCTGGTCATCTGTCAGCTCCGGTAACATCCTGGGGACAGTGAACTACTCTTGCAAAGGTTGTTTACGCCACATGTTCAAATATAAGGTTAGTAACTAAATGGGTACTCAATACGTAATATTTAGTGTGTAATATGCTCTGGAAATGGGTTGCTGATTCTAAATTTGACAAATGTAATGCTTTTTAAATCTGATAAATGCAGCTCCTAAATCTAACTCTAAATCTTGAGTATACAGTATGAAATTATAGGTATTACTATAATTATAGATATTACATTAATTATAGATATTACTATAATTACAGATATTACTAATTATAGATATTACTATACAGATATTACTAATTATAGATATTACTATACAGATATTACTAATTATAGATATTACTATACAGATATTACTAATTATAGACATTACTATAAATGTCCAAACATCTATGAATAAAACATTTGAAATGAGTGTTCGACCAGGGGCCTGACAGCTGAGTGGACAGCGCTTCGGATTCGTAGTCCTGAGGTTCCGGGTTCGATCCCCGGTGAAGGCGGAAGCAAATAGGCAGTGTCTTTCACCCTAATGCTCCGGTTACCTAGCAATAAATAGGTACCTGGGAGTTAGACAGCTGCTACGGGGTGCTTTCTGGGGGGGGGGGGGGTTGTAACAAAAAGGAGGCCTGGTCGAGGACCGGGACGTGGGGACGCTAAGCCCCGAAATCATCTCAAGATAACCTCAAGATAACCTGACTACAACCGAGAAACCCGGGTTCAATCCTCGGGTAGGATTGGGCAAGTTTCCTTTCTCCTGATACCGCAGTTCACCTAACAGTTAAATGGGTACCCGGGAGTTAAGCCATTGCTGTGGGTTGTATGCTAGTTGGCCTAGAGGGAACGCGCTAAGCGTAAGTATACAGGCTTCCTGACCCGTCAGCGGAAATTAAATGTACTGTAGTGCTGTCAGGATGCTTGAACGGTGTCAGTCAGTCAAGAACGTTCGAGAGTAATTTAATTATACCATTTGGTCAAATGAACCATTTTAATCTGGTTTAAAGTTTTCATTAACTGTCCGTTATGTCAATCATAAATCAGGAATTTGCATTCTGAAATAAAATGTACGACAATACAAAAAATAACCGAAAAAGTGGAAAACATCAATTATGTTAATTTACATCTGGCAGAAAATGTTGTTGTGGCAATAGCATACATACAAAGTGTTGATTATACAGATAGCATAGAGGATGTATATCCGCTCGGACGGTTATTGCAATACTCACAAATAGAGTTTAAGGAAATATGGCAGGAATTTTAAAATAGCATGAGGTGCATGGAGATTTGTAAGTTATTAACCCAAGAATATTGAGACTATCCTCATATTCTACCCGAAGTTTGCTAGAGCAAGCTAGTAGAGTTGATCTACTTGCCTGCTCTAATGTATGACAAACTTCCTGTACAATAAGAATATGATGAACACTATCTATAACTCCTGAACTATATGCTGTAACCCCTCACATTTTCTAGTGTAGACTCCGTGTGCTGTGTACCTAAGCATGTCAACAACACAAAAGTTTATTTCCCCTTGGGACTATCCCTTAATCATATCGCATATACCAAAGATATATTGAATGATATTACCAATAATTAAATCAATTATGTTGTTTTCTTTTCTATTTTTTTCTCTGACTTAATGTATTAAAGGGCTGGGGGGAGGGGGAAGAGGAGGGGTAACTCTTAACCCAATGCGATAGCCTACACGGATAGTTAATGAAGACAAAACTAAATTTGAATGTAGAAGTCGGAGGCCCATTATATTGAAAATAAACGGTAAAAATATAGAGTTAATATATATAAATATTTAGGCATATATGTTGGATATACCCATGAGAGTTTGGAAGCTGAGATGAACAGACTGTTGGGTCAATGTCGGAAGAGATTACAACCTCTGAAAGCCTTGGCATGCTGTGGAAAGGGAGTGGGAGCCCCTGTGCTACGAATGATATACTTGACTATTGTAAGATCCCTTATTGATTATGCTGCACCTGTCATTTCTTGTTTTGGTAAAGGTAGGATGGGCAAGTTGGAGAAGGTACAAAATGAAGCCATGAGAATTATCGTAGGATGCCCAAGAAATGCTATGATTGAGATAATGAGGATGGAGTTGAATCTGAAGAGTATTGGAGATAGAATTTAAGAGATAAATGTAGCCTCTGCCATTAGAGTAATGAGAGGTGGGGGAGCTAATGAATTAATCCTCTCAATTCAAAAGGTGGGAAGTAATGTACAATGTATGATAAAGAAGAGAGCCTATATGAGTACCTTATGCTCTAATGTTATAAAGTATGATGTTATTACAGAATGTATTGCTGTGCCTAAGAGACAATTCACACCACCATGGGAGGATTGTAATGTAGATGTAGTAGTTATTCCCTTGCAAAAGAAAAAATTATGTATGACATAAGAGAGCTGAGGGCAACATATGATAGTATAATTACAAAATTACCTACAGAAAACACTCTACATGTATATTGTGATGGGTCAGTAGCTAGGGATGGGAAGGCAGGATGTGGAGTCTTGATCAGGGAGTACACTGACATCGGTACTGTAGATACTGTTATTGGACGCCGCTTAACTAACAATGTCTCTTCAACACAGGCTGAACTCCAAGGTGTATTAGCAGGATTACAGGAAGTAGTCAAATGTGGTGAAAATGCCTGCTTCTTTATTGACAGTAGAGGAGCGTTAGAGTCTTTAAATAGCAGACTCTCAGTATACCAGAATATTGTGATGTAGTGTAGAGAGAATGTTAAGAAATTAGAAAAAAACTGGGTATAAAGTAAGATTCATGTGGGAATACTGTTGAATGAGGTAGTTGATGAGCTAACGAAGAGAGCCACGGAAAAAACTCTTGATGTTGTATGTCAGTTAACCTTGAAACAAATACAAACTAGAATCAAGATGATCCAAGAGGGTGAAGAAATGGTAAAGCGAATGGGAATAGTGGCCAGTAGTAACACACTTAAGAGTTATTCAATAATAAATTCAAATTCGTCCTTCACCTATGGTAGAGGAAAGTCTGCTTGGAAGGATTCAATTTACATGAGATTAAGATTAGGATACAAATATATCTGGCAATACGGTGTTGATGTTAGTGAAAAAGATAAGGAGTGTAAATTATGTAGTATGCCGCACGCCCACACCTTAGAACATTATGTATTAGAGAGTCAACTTATTGATAACTATAGAAATAAGGAAATAAGTAGTGTACCACATCAAATTGTTTGGATGTGTGATAATGGTATGATATACAGTATACTTAGGAGCTACAAGAATTTTGCCCCAAGAGTGTAACACTTATATACTGTGCTTACTATATTAACCAGCAATGTTAAATGGGATTCTTGTATTGTGATTTGTATTTGTCCTCACTGAATTTGTGCGCCCCTTGAGGGACTTGAAGTAGAGGGGGGGGGGGTAGAAATAGCCTAAGCTACTCTATCCCTTTGAGATGTATTTTTTTCTTGTCTCAATAAACATACTTGAACTTGAATTCGATAGCCTACACTTACGAGGCAGTCTCGAGGATTAGCTTGGTGTGTGGACAGAGGTGAGAACGAAGTAGTGTTGGGGTGAGCAGATGTGCCATGGCTACGGACAGGTATACCACATCTAAGCTGCCTTCAACCTATGACAAAGAAATTTTGATTGCTCATTATGTTCACATATTTTAAAATGATTTGCTTTAAGGTACAACAAATCTAATTTGCAAGATGATTCTTGGGGCCCATTTTTATAATAAAATTTTATTTATTAATACTGTATATATATATATATATATATATATATATATATATATATATATATATATATATATATATATATATATATATATATATATATATATGTCGTACCTAGTAGCCAGAACGCACTTCTCGGCCTACTATGCAAGGCCCGATTTGCCTAATAAGCCAAGTTTTCCTGAATTAATATATTTTCTCTAATTTTTTTCTTATGAAATGATAAAGCTACCCATTTCATTAAGTATGAGGGCAATTTTTTTTATTGGAGTTAAAATTAACGTAGATTATGACCGAACCTAACCAACCCTACCTAACCTAACCTAACCTATCTTTATAGGTAAGTTTAGGTTAGGTAGCCGAAAAAGTTAGGTTAGGTTAGGTTAGGTAGGTTAGGTCGCCGAAAAACAATTAATTCATGAAAACTTGGCTTATTAGGCAAATCGGGCCTTGCATAGTAGGCTGAGAAGTGCGTTCTGGCTACTAGGTACGACATATATATATATATATATATATATATATATATATATATATATATATATATATATATATATATATATATATATATATATATATATATATATTCTGATCTTCTCTGAATGCTCTTTGTTTTCTTCTTCGAGGATGTGGATCCCTGCAATTGCACCAGAGGTGGTACCCCTAATATATATATATATATATATATATATATATATATATATATATATATATATATATATATAAAGGGAAGGGGTGGTAGGAGAAAAGCACACTGAAACTGTATTGGAGGGGATCTACATTCCCTCCAATGCGTTATGTGTGGTTTCCTCCGAGGCTATGGGTCCCCCTTCTTCCAGCCAGAGGTGGTACTCCCTTCCCTTTTTATATATATATATATATATATATATATATATATATATATATATATATATATATATATATATATATATATATATATATATTCTCTCTCTCTCTCATAGATTTAGGTTAGAGGGATTCTTAGAACAACCACTCATTTCACGTACAACTCATTCCACTGGGTTGTACGTCAATCCAGTGGAATGTAAATCAATTATTGGACATAGACCGAATAAGTTGAATTGCGGGTTATTCTTCTAGCGCTCAAGTAACATAAATAAGTAATTACATTTACCGTAGTGTAAGTGGAATGTAAAACAGCTAACCTCTGGCAGTGAAATAAGTGCATTCAAACGAGATGGAGATAGGAGGATGATCTCCACCCCGTCCAGCTCTAGGTAACCGCAGGAGGCACCACGCCCTCCTGCCTCCTCCAACCCGGTCCTGCAGGAGGCACCACGCCCTCCTGCCTCCTCCAACCCGGTCCTGCAGGAGGCACCACGCCCTCCTGCCTCCTTCAACCCGCTGCTGCAGGAGGCACCACGCCCTCCTGCCTCCTTCAACCCGCTGCTGCAGGAGGCACCACGCCCTCCTGCCTCCTTCAACCCGCTGCTGCAGGAGGCACCACGCCCTCCTGCCTCCTTCAACCCGCTGCTGCAGGAGGCACCACGCCCTCCTGCCTCCTTCAACCCGCTGCTGCAGGAGGCACCACGCCCTCCTGCCTCCTCCAACCCGGTCCTGCAGGAGGTACCACGTTCTCCTTCCTCCTCCACCCAACAACGTACCCACTCCTGTGAAGCATTACACATTGGTTCACCTCCACTGTTCTCTACATGTTTTGCTTCCGTCTGAGGCTGGTTATTAAGAATAACTGAAGCGGAACATTGGGTAGGTTGTGTTTCCGTAGCATGACACACCGGCGAACACTCTTGGTTGGATGCGTCTGTACGCACTGTGTTACCTGTAAGTGTTTCATTATCAAAGTTACTTTTATCTGTATTTTCATTTGTACTTGCATTAGTGCTTGTATTTGTATTTTTTGTTGTTCCCACTGGCATTTTATTCTTATCCTTCTCTCTGAAATTCTTTGTCACATTCTTTTGATCAAGTAGTTGTGCCGTTTCTCTTTTCATTTCTAACTGCTTCTCTGCTTTCCATTCCACTAGCATCTCATGTTCTAACTCCTTTTGTGTTTGTACCACTTTCCAGTCCACCTCTTTATCTGTCACATCATCCACTCCCTCTTCTCTTTGCTCCCCCACTGCCTGGTCTTCCTGTAGGTGGTGGTAAGTCTCTTCTGCTTGCTTCCCCACCACTTGGTCGTCCTGCAGGAGGTGGTGAGTCCACAATTCGTGTAGAAGGTTATCTAGGTTCCACAAGGCCGCCTCACTTCCGCTCTGAGGGAGATGATGGCATAATTACTTTGATATAACCAATTCAATATATAGGCGAAGAAGCATGTTAATATCGTCACAAGTGTCGTTATAAGCACTTGAAATAAAAGCAGAGATTACTAAGGGTTAACAAAGTTTAAAATGCTAAACCTGCAATGTAAAGAGAAGCTGAAGCTCTCGAAGAACTAGTTCAAGTTCAATTAGTATTAGTCAATAATTCAATTAGAAGAATTAGTATTGGTTACAAAATGCAGATTAGTATATAGTAAAAAATATATATTTTTAATGCGCATAACTTATTTTATTAATCTTAATTCATTAAATAATAATAATAATAATAATAATAATAATAATAATAATAATAATATTTTATGTATAAGGTAACCGATGTAATATGATCCTTTGAATATCAAGTTGATACACTATTTCTATATATAATAAATGAGTGGAATGAAAAAATATACATGTGCAATCCATATACAGTATATAGAGTACTATATTTAGACGGGTAAATTAAGTACTTATTTTTAATAATAGGATGGGGACTGGGAGTGGCTGAGGGGGGGGGGGGAAGAAAGGATTTTTCAGACTTATTAGCAAAAATATGATCAAGACGAAAACAATTATTATAAATTAATTTCCTGTTCACCGCGGGTGTACAAAAAAAAGTATACCAATAAGTATATAGAACTCATACATATCTGGTTTTGCCGTTGTGTGTCATGGCGACCCTGGGGTCGGTGGCGGCGAGGGCCAGGGCAGGGAAAGGTCCGGTGAGGAGGTCGCCCCAGTACCCGACCCGGCGATGCTTCGCCAGCCCCTCCGACACCATCGCCACTGTCAACACAACCTCCACCTTCTTACATGCTTCCCTTCAGATAGTTCACAGGGAATATATATATATATATATATATATATATATATATATATATATATATATATATATATATATGAATGAAAACTCACACCCCAGAAGTGACTCGAACCCATACTCCCAGAAGCAACGCAACTGGTAACTACAGGGCGCCTTAATCAGTTACCAGTTGCGTTGCTTCTGGGAGTATGGGTTCGAGTCACTTCTGGGTGTGAGTTTTCATTCGCATATAGTCCTGGGGACCATTCAGGCTTGTTCGCATATATATATATATATATATATATATATATATATATATATATATATATATATATATATATATATATATATATATATATATATAATGTCGTACCTAGTAGCCAGAACGCCCTTCTCAGCCTACTATGCAAGGCCCGATTTGCCTAATAAGCCAAGTTTTCCTGACTTAATATATTTTCTCTAATTTTTTTCTTATGAAATGATAAAGCTACCCATTTCATTAAGTATGAGGTCAATTTTTTTTAATTGGAGTTAAAATTAACGTAGATATATGACCGAACCTAACCAACCCTACCTAACCTAACCTAGCCTATCTTTATAGGTTAGGTTAGGTTAGGTAACCGAAAAAGTTAGGTTAGGTAAGGTTAGGTAGGTTAGGTAGTCGAAAAACAATTAATTCATGAAAACTTGGCTTATTAGGCAAATTGGGCCTTGCATAGTAGGCTGAGAAGTGCGTTCTGGCTACTAGGTACGACATATATATATATATATATATATATATATATATATATATATATATATATATATATATATATATATATATATATATATATATATATATATGAAAACTCCACACCCCAGAAGTAACTCGGACCCGGACTTCCAGGAGCACATTGCAACTAGTGTCACGGTGCCTTAATCCACTCGACCATCAGTGACCGCACAAAAGGAGGTGATAGCCGAAACTATTTGACCCCCCCCCCCCGGCGGCACTTTGATGGTAATCTTGGGCATAGCTATTTCATCAAATCACTTCATTTTAGTGGGGCCACGTGAGCAATCACTAAAATTAAGTGATTTGATGAAATAGCTATGCCCAAGATTACCATCAAAGTGCCGCCGGGGGGGGGGGGGGTAGGGGGGGCTCAAATAGTTTCGGCTATCACTTCCTTTTGTGCAGTCACTGATGGTCGAGTGGATTAAGGCACCGTGATACCAGTTGCAATGTGCTCCTGGAGGTCCGGGTTCGAGTCACTGCTAGGGTGTGGAGTTTTCATTTGCATATATGCTTGGGGACCATTCAAGCTTGTTCGCATACCGCAATACCCACCGTGAGGGCGGTGGTGGAAATAATATAGGATTAGCTTTTAGCTAAACAATCTACATAAATGGTGAACTAGTTATAAACAGTCTCTGGAAACTCTTTGATTTCGCTGCCTTAGTGTCAGCTACACATGTGTTATATTTAATATTCTTACATTCTTATATTTGCATTATTATTTTTTATGTATGCTATATCTAAAATACTGGATATACATTTTTATTTTTCAATATACATCAACGGCAAAGTTGATAAAATCACAAACATCATCAAATTTGCAGTCTATTTCAACTTCTCCATTCAATGGTTGGGTACCGTTCCTTCCCTCCACCCAATCCCAGATCCTTATCCCCACACCCTTTCCAAAAGTTATCCGATGTCTTTGCTTTCCATTATTTTTCCGGGAATGAAACAATAACAGCAGATTTACAACTTGACCTCCCTGGCACGGCTGTCTCCTGTATTGTTGTTGTTGTTTTAGATTTAGCTACTCAGAACGAAGTGTCCATGTAGCACGGGCTATGGTGAGCCCGTAATGTCTCCTGTACTGAAATATATTATTTAAACAAGAATCCTTACCTGAGGCCAGCGAGGTGTTTGGAAGACGAGAGGTGGCGTCTGTGCCCACAGAAAATGCATGGCCCGACTCTCGCCACTCCAAGAACTCTTGACCCCAACCGGAGCCCACACCGACGTACCCATCTACTCGTCCCCTGCCTTCGTCGTCTCCAGCTTTCAATTTCCCGGAAGGGTTCACATGAAGGTGCTGGATACGGTGAGCGAGACGCATGTGCCAAGCCCAGTCCGCTTCCGCTTGCCTGTTGTCGTAGCGAGTCTTCAACAGATGTCTTAGACGCAAATCCCTGCAAGATATTTGTAGCATAAAGTTATTTTTCTTATATCTTTCACTCCTTTTTTTTCCTAACACATGGATACAGAAAAAGATGATTTCTGACTCTTGTTAGAGATGGCTGTTTTACGAATGTTCAAGGAATGTAGATTTCATTCCAAATTCTAGCCAAGTATCAAGTTTGCCTACTGTAGCTAGTACATGCACGTGACTAACGTTTCCGTCGCCGCCCACAGGATGGGTTCGAGAGGCAACTCCGCGTTATATATGTGAATTGCTCACTACAACTGAAAATTGCTTATATTAAAGATTATTGGGATCGAAGGCGCCAGATTTTTATTCAAAACTGACCGACCATAATAGTATGAAGTCCTGAATATAACAAGGGATACGCATGAAACTGAGTAATAACACAAAAATAATATAAAAACACACATATTGAGTACCAGCAGAGCGCTGGGTCATATTGTTTTGGCGTGAGTGTGTACCAAGTCCTGCAGACGGCCTCGATGGCGTCCCTCTCTCGGTACTTGAGCTTCTCAGCAGAGATCATACCAAGGAGAGTCTGGTACTGGGCCGCGTCAGTCACTGATCTGAGCAAAGGACTAGACTATATGAAGTCACTTGAGGTCAAGAGGGAAGGTTACAGTAACGGAGCAGTGATCTGGGAGAAAGATAAATAGTGTAGCAATCTGTGGGAGGAATTTACAGTGATCTGAGTGGGATTTTTTAGTGATCGTGAAGAACAAGAAGAAAATATCCATGAGGAGAGAAAAATTTGTATATGGAAAGCCAACGAACATATGATCAACATATATTTAAGCCGACAGACGAATTATTCACAACTACTGGAAATGTTCATCAAAATAACGTACTATACGTACATGGAAAGCCTACGTGCGGCGAGCTCCAGGTAGCCTTTGGACGTTGGCCTGAGGCAGAGGTTGCCCCAGAGGTCGAGGAGGAGAGCGGCCCTCTCCCTGAGTCCCAGTCCCTGCTGGAGGCTGGCTCCCATCAGCAGTAACACCCGCGCGTACAGCTCCACCTGGGCCTCCAACACGTACACCTGTCAGAGCCCACATACACACCAGAGTTGGAACTATTATTATGAAAGGCATCTACATAATCGAGTGTGTAATGTTTTGCATGTTTGTAAGTGTTCGTAAGCTTGTTTGTAATTCATCTACTATGAGTTTTTTTTTTTTTTTTTTTTTTTTTTTTTTTTTTTTTTAATCAAGAGTTGTGTACTAGTACGCGTAGCGTTTGCTATGGTCCCTGGAATGTAAGAATGTTCAAGTAGTTAAACAGAGCAGTTGAATTTGTCCCCGGCCAGGATACGAACCCATCATAGCGCTCGCGGAACGCCAGGCGAGCTTACCTATGAGTTTACAGAGTGAGTTCTAGCCCAGTCAATCAATCGATGGTACAGGTAAAGTGTGAGCGGGAAGTGGGGACAGATGGAAGAATAGTCTGGAGAGGAAGGTTCGTAGTTGTAGAGGGTAGGGCCAGGGCTTAATCCAGCAGCAGGGCGATAATTTTTGGTGTAGTCGTAGCAAAATCGACCGCACCACACAAAGCACCCGGGGTAGGGGGCCAAGCAGCAGCCAGAAGTCCTTGTTTAGCACTCCACCACTACTGCATCACTGTCTCAAGGGGCTTCTCGGGTGTTTATTTTTTCTTGTTGACCAAACCACACACTAGAAAGTGAAGGGACGACGACGTTTCGGTCCGTCCTGGACCATTCTCAAGTCGACCATTTGATTTTTTTTCTTGTTCCTCGGTTTCTTGTTTGTATATGGGTGTCCGCAAGCAACGGAATAGGAGTATCCTATGTCTTTTCCAATCATACCCGGCGGTATGTTGATGGTGACCTGATGACCATTTGTGATAGTGATGAGTTAGCTATTGGCTGTGTCAATTTTGGTAGGCACTAATTGACCCATTATGTTGGGCACTCTAATCAGTCGAAGCGGCGAGGCAGCAACCACAGAGTTCCGGGAATTATATAACCTAACCTAACCTAACCTATGTCTCTATATGCACAATATACTAATATATTATAATATTAATTTATATTGGAGAAAATTCCAGTTTTGAATGAACAGCATGTAAAAATTTATGAATGCGTCTGTGGGGTCGACCGCTGGATGTAATGGACTCGTCGAGGACGGGTTACATAAACAGGAGGCTTAGCGGGTGCATGGAATCACTTTAGGTCATTGTTTGGAGGACGGGCTGGGCGTTTGCATCAGTAGCTCGTTCACTATTCTGAGGAACACGCTGTGGGTTTGTGCTACTGTCCGCATATGCGACGATAACCTGGATATTGATATTCTGGGTGCATGTTGTCGTTCCTGATGACACCGGGTCTTGTTGTTGAGGCTTGTGTGGTCTTCCGGTCCATTCGGATGTATTTTGTGTCTGGCTTGTTGAAAGGAGGCGCAGGAACTGGGCAGGTTCAAGGTCCAAGGGCGTGTTGGCTTGTCTGTTGGTGGTCGGTGGAGTGGTGGCCTTTTTTTTTTGTAAGTTTCTTGAGTTCCTCTTTCCTGTGTGCAGAAGTAAGACGTGCCGACATGCTTTTCCTCACACCTATGACTAGCGGTAGACCTACTCACCCTCACACCTTCCCTGGTAGACCTACTCGCCCTCACATCTTCCTGGTAGACATACTCACCCTGAGACGCGGGTTATGGCTGCTCCTGTACCTGGCCATCATCAGCAGAAGATGACGAGGGTCGCCGGCGCCTATCACCACTACCTGCATCGTGTCTCCTAGGCTCCTTTTACCTGGCCCACCAGGGAGATAATCATATCACTGAATGCTCTTGTAATGGCTACATTAAGACGTGTAAAATATTATGAATTTAAAACAACTTTTTTTTGTCACACACACTTATTCAAATAAACAATTATTGTTTAAGTTTCTTCTCCCCTGGGTAGTTCTTTAATTTTCTTAAGTTGTCTCTTATTTTTTTATTTAGTTTTCTCTCCATTATAGAGCAAGAGTTTCAGAATCTCATGTAATTTGTATGGATATTGTTACGGTAATCTGTTTAGGCAGAAGATCCTGCTTGTTCCCTTTACCACCTATTCACCAACGTATTTGCATGCGCCAACATAAAGAATCAACATCAACAACAACACGTGCTCAGACGCCTCAGTGTCTAGACAAGACTCCACTCCCTCCCCTCCGCCCTCAAGTACCCAAGACAGACACCTGCTGTCTGGACAGAGACCCAACGACACAGCCCAACTACTTGTTTAATTGCCAGCCGATGGTTACCCACGACATCCGCGCCATCTATGCTGGCCTGGCATATATAAGGAGCTCACCGACATCCAGTCCCCACGGGGGAGACATCTCCCGTCACGCAGGGTGCAGTCGCGCCTCCACAGATCTCCAGTATCATCTATTGATACTGGTAATGGCTCAAAAGGGCCACCACTTACGGGCTATTCATGCCCGTACCACCTTTTGGGTGGCTTAATCTTCATCAATCATCAATTGGACACATTCGGGAGACATCTCCCGTCACGCAGGGTGCAGTCGCACCTCCACAGATCTCCAGTATCAGCTTTTGATACTGGTTAATGACTCAAAAGGGCCACCACTAACGGGCTATTCATGCCCGTGCCACCTTTTTGGTGGCTTAATCTTCATCGATCAATCCAGTCCCTCGGCATTATTCTCATACATAGCACATTCAGCACCGCTCCTGTGCCAGGTAAGTCCACTACGGGCTCACCATAGCCCGTGCTACCTGGAACTTTTGTTCAGAGTAGGTGAATCTAAAACAACATCATCCAGTCCTCAGAATACACTTCGTGCTCTCAGCAGTAACATATACTGTCGCCTTCCCAGGAGACAGTAGATGTGTACAGCTTTTGTATAATGTATTAATTTGCACCTTTCTTTTGCTTAACATAACAACTCACCTGTGTTTATCTTTTATATTTTTATATTGTGTTTTCGCCAAGTGGATAAGGGGTTTTGTTATTAGTCATTTTTTGTTATATTAAATGTTTTAAGTGTTTATTCTCTTTGTTTTACCCGCAGCTTTCACAGTTTCACAGTACCAGACATCACTCGGTACCCCTACTCAAATCTCTTAATATGTTAGATATTAAGTCACTGCACATTCTCTCATGTGTATTATACATATATAAAACGCTAAACTATAATGCCAATCCTGATCTTAAAAGCTTCATAGAAGGTTGTAACAGAACCCATGAGCACCACACCAGAAATAAATACAGTTTTGATATTCCTAGAGTACGTCTTAATCAAACTAGAAATGCTCTGCAAATCAAGGGGCCCAGAATGTGGAATGACCTTCCCAACCATGTTAAAGACTGTACCTCTCTCAACCAGTTTAAGATAAAAACTAAACACTACCTAATAAATTCCCTGTAATCTACCTCACTCCTCTATAGTCAACCCATGTCTGTTATTTTTTTTTTTTTTTTTTTTTTTTTTTTTTTTTTTTTTTTTTTTTTTTTTTTTTTTAATCAACACTGTTTGTCAACCTATTGTATTTGTGCTGCTTTTTCAGTCATGTTCCCCCTTTTTTTATCTTTATTTGTATTTGTTCTCAACACCTTTTATTCTTTATGCTCAATTAGTATTAAGTTCTAGATATTAATGTTTTTCTTGCCCGAAACGCATTGCGTAATAGTGGCTTTAGGCATTATATGTACTAGCTCTATCTATATATCAATCCATTAATGTAACATCACTTGTATGTATATACCTTACCTGAATAAACATCTGAATCTGAATCTGAATCTGTATAGAGGTCACAAGCAGTTTTATTTACTTTATTTTACTTTTTTTTTATTTAATGTGATTGGCACAACACCAGCCAGAATAGCCACTGCTCTATTTTCAGATTAACATCACCACCATCCATCATATAAACCATATCACATAGGTGGTCTCAAGCAGGATGATGCGGACATTGTAGTTAAAGCTGCATACTGTTTAAACCCAGAACAATATGTACGACAACACAAAACCTCTATACTAGCCAGTGTGACATTGTAATTGCCTGCGCAGTCTTCCTGCCCTAACAAAACGAATTATTATTATCCCAAAAATGAACATTCCAACTGTAAACTATGTGAAGTAGACCTTGGACACACGCCAACACTATTTGTGAGTGCCCTTCAGATTGAGTAGTATGAGATGCTTTGAGTTCTGTAACTAGTTGATACATTCACGAATATTGGGAGATATTCTTGTATTCTAGCCTTAGTTTGCTAGTGCAGGCTAATAGACTAGACTTCCATCTTATGTTTTACTTCCTATTCAAAGTATGATTTACTATCTTGTTAGATGGGATTAGATGAACTCATACCTAGCTTTCGATCTATACTATGTAGTTCTTCATATAGAATAGTGTAGCAGAACATTAGTGTTTGTACCTAAGCTTGTTAATTAAAAATAAAAAAAAAATTACACCACAGGATTATAAACCCATGGAATCGCCTACCCTCCGAAGCCGTAAATTCCAGGACATTCCAGTTTAAAATCCAGGTAGATAATATCATTAGGAAAAATGGGGAAAGCTTTGACAAACCTCCAGTGCAGCTTCCAGTTCCCGTCGTGGCCACTGGATCGAGATGGTGGCCTTCAGGTAATACAGGCCCTTTAGGTTGAGATGTTAAGCGTTATCTTAATAACACCAGTAGAATGCAACTCACCATCCATGTAGCTTAGGAGATTAACTGGAGGTGAGAATCCCCACCAATTAAATAAACCATGCCCGTGCATTATCTTCAGTTTTGTAAATTAGTGAAAAAGGAGTGTAAACAACTGAGGTTGCTATAGTAACCAGATGGACCAATCAGACGTTGCGTCCAGGAAGCTGACCAATCCCAGCTTGTTTACATCCAGAGGTAATGGCGGCACCCATGTGATTGTTCTTTTTTAAACAACCTTTGCACTTTCTCGCTTTTATTTAGAGATTCTGGGAGCTGTTTCTATCTTGAAAATGCCAAACAATGTAGAAAAGATGTGAGTATCAATGTGTTTATTTTGTTAAGTTACGCATCACGAGAGCGCCCTGAAGAGGAAACTGCGAAGTAACGCCTCTGTAACAAAAATGTAAATTCACACGTTTTAAATCATAGCCTATGTAGAGTAATTTTTATTTTCCCAAATAATTCTTAACCTGAATTTATTTTACATTTTAATTATATGTACGAACTTGTATTCAGTGTGAATTTGAGATAGACACTATAGTGACAAGATGGACATTGATCACTCACTAATCTAACTCAACAAAAATATTAGAACAAATATTTATGCTTTATATGTAGTGTACACAATGTGTGTGTGTGTGTGTGGTCATAGTTTAAATGCCAGCACAAGTTTTGGATAATTCTGAGTGGATCAGTACACTATTATAAAGAAAATCTGCAAATGTAGCTGTAAGATGTCAGAGTGAAATCACTCACCTTTCAGAGAATAATAATAATGAACAATTCGTTTTGTCGGGGCAGGAATCCTATATACAGTACTTTAGACGCCTCAAAGCTCCCCCCGCCTCCAAGGTTGAACTACTGACCTACCCAAGGATGCAATCCCACAACAGTTGCCTAACCTGGGTATCCATGAAATTAAATATTGTAAATTCAACTATATTAAAACTACCACCAATGCTTGCCAAACAGCATGCAACCTTGCATATTAATATCAGACCCTCTCGGTCAATATAGCAAGATATAAACCACTGAACATTGAGGGAAGATGCTGATGCCGATGTCCAACCAGAGCAAAGAAGCCTGGCTTTGGCTAGGCTAGAGGATCGTGAGCAGATATATAATATCCTATTTGTAAAGCTAGTTATAAAGAGCAAAAGGCATTTCTTGTTGAAAGCAAGTGGTGGTTATATACAGGGAGTGGCTTGCTTGCAAATGGGATGTTGTGCAGAAAGGCTTTTGTAAGTCATGTTGTTTGTAAGTTGGAATCAGATTTTTTATTGGTGCAATTATATAAAGGACATATGTTCTCAGTTCATCAAAAATTGTCATATAAAACCAAATTTTATTTTTTATATATAAAGAACAAACAGCGTTTTATTTACTTTAAATGATGGAGTTGTCCTGTTAGGCAGGCTTGAGAAATTTGGAGGCAGGAAAAGGTCTAATTACAAATATTGGAAGAGGTACCGTGGCAAAGTGGTAACACGCTCACCTGGCGTTTCGCAAGTGCTTTGGCCTCAGTCCATATTCTTGGCCAGGGAGGATTTACTGGGCACTAATCCATAACTGTAGCCTCTGTTCACCCAGCAGTGAATGGGTACCTGGTTGTTAAACGATTTGGTGGGTTGTATTCCAGGGAACATTAGGATTAAGGACTTGCCTAAAATACTATGCATGCTAGTGGCTGTACAAGAATGCAAGAACTCTTGTATATATAAATAAATTAAAAAATTAAAAGGAGATTATGGAGCTCTTTCACCAAACATGTACAATCTGAATTGGTGGTATTTTCATATCAAATCCCTTGGTTTCAAGAGTAATGGGTTACCTCTTCCTTGGTATTGGTGCACCATTAACACTTTCTCTTCATATCTGCCATTAGTAAGGGCATTTTCCTCAAAAAACTGCAGAAATAGCCCCACAGAATGTACTACAGATGTATTGCTCCACATGGCACTAGGCCAGTGTGGGTCAACTGCAGAGCACCAGCATTCCTTTTTTGAGTTAAAAGCTGCACATTGTATTTTGAGTATGACAAAGTGTGTTCATATAGCATGTGTGTGTGTGTGCATTTTAGAGAGAAATACTGTATACTGTACAGTATGTAGTAGTGGAAAATAGGTTGGGAGTAAATACATTAAACAACTTATCAGAAAGACAGGATTCAAGAACTAATAACACGATCCTGCAGGCACAAATAATAAATAAAGCCACACATGCATCTACACAGGCAGCCCCACATAAAAAAAAATATTGTGATGCATCACTACTTTTAATGCTAACTCAACATAAATTTTAGGAACCTCTGTACATTGGTGAAGAGTCCATTTAACATCATTTTATGAATTACTCCCATTTTTTCAGTCTTGTGTGTGGAGATGTTGTTGGAAATTTCAACCAGCTTTTTAAACGTGTTTCAAATGTGAATCAAAAGAACGGTCCATTTTCCATGCTGCTGTGTGTGGGAGACTTCTTTGGACCTGACAATTCACAGTGGATTCAGTACAAAAATGGTGATGTGAAAGGTAATCAATTTATTTCCTGATACTGAACTGTATTTTCATTCTCTTTCAGTTTAAGGAATATAATTACTAAAATGTATTAACTTCTTTGTCCATGTTTTTATACCACAAGAACTCTTTACTTTTTAGTAACATTTTTATCTTTATTGGAAAGAAATTGGTCAGTCTTAAGGTTTTGTTTTCAACTGTTATATTTACATTTATCAGCTCAAAAAATACCGTCATTACAGGATGGGTGCCAGCTATTTTTCAGTCTTGGGTATTCAGGATGGGTGCCAGTCATTCGAACATTGAGCACTAGCAGTTTTTCCTTGCATGGATACCAGCAATCCAATATCTTGTGCCTCTGGACTTGATCCTTTTATTTTAGACTTTAGTTCTTCTACTGCTTCCTGGGGTACAGCATCAAGTCCCTGCATTCTGACTAGTTGGCAATTCTGTATTCTACATGAGGAAGTGGCGGTAATTTTGCTAGATTTCTATCATGGATTGGAAGGAAGTTGTCCCTATTTTTAATGTCCTGATGACTAGGAAATCACTAGACTATGAAAATTGGTTTTGCACACTATATATATACAATACACAGGTGTTTTTCAGAAATGCCTTTTAAGACTATATTTTACATCCAGATTATATATATTAATGTTATCCATATGTTTAATGAATTGGGGTAAAATTGCATTATACTGCAAGATTGGAGGTCTTCTCACAGTAACAAACATAAATATAATAATTATTGCATGTAAATGCTTTTGGCCGCAAATAAACTCCTGTACATACAGACTGATCAGTACAGTACTTTCTTTAAGCTTGTAAATTACTAAAACATAAGAGAAAATATTATCCGTAGTAGTATTTTGCAACATTTTATGGCTTTTTAATAGAACACCATCTATGAATTTTTCATTTATTTTGGCTTGTAAAATTCCAGTTCCTCTGCCGACTTACGTCTTGGGACCTAGCCATTTAGGGCACCACAGCAATTATCCCGACATGAAGGGCTGCGAGCTTTGTGAAAATGTTATATACCTGGGTAAGTGAAATACAGTGTACTGTACATTACAGTACAGTAATGTAGTACAGTACAAAATATATTTGTACTGTACTACAAAATATTATATACTCATTATAAGTAATGAGTATATAATATATATATTATATACTCATTAATATACAGTATCTGCACTTATATTAGTATATACTGTATATTATACGTATTAGTTACATTAGTCTTTTTATATCCTGTAGGTGGATATTTTATAGTTTTGCTGTGTATATTTTAATGGACTATTTTCTTTCAGTACTTAAGCAATTAGAGAAGCATAATGTTCTTAGTTTGTTTATCCATTTACTTAAGTTACATACCTTAGTCCGTTAGCCAAATCTTTTTGATTGTTATTAGCTTAGCTAACTGTCAAATTTACTTGTAAAAATATCGATGAGTTTCATTGTTCCTCAGACCTGATTAACTTATAATGGCCATATTTTGATGTTTTCTGCTATGCCTGGCTTCAACAGCAATTACTCAGTATATTATTATCTTCATTCTCTTCACAACCAGTGTTGTGAGTCCCCTCATATTTGACCTGTAAACTAGTTTTGACATGCTCTAGAACTGATTAACATAGATTGGTATGGCCTCTGACCTTTGGCTTAAAGGTTTTGCTGGATTTTGAAAGAGTGGCTGCCTAGTTCCAATGAACTACTTTAATAATAAAGGCATTATAGATTTATTAATGCACTATCAAACTCTCATCCATTTAAATTTTACACATATTTTGTCTGCCCTTAATTTTTGTGACTTATTTTAAGAATGCCTAAACTGGTTCTCATCAGACTTAACCTACTTTTGCATTGGTGCTGTTTGAAGACAATGGTGTCTGATTGCCTTTCTGATAAGTAATTGTATATAATGATAGGTCTTTATTTAGTGATGGTATCTCGACAAATTGGCAGTAATGCATAACAATACACTCATGCTATAAAACCATACAAATTTTTTTACTGTTCTCTACTGTATTAGCAGAATTTTAAAGAACATGAAAGTAATTACTATAGCACAAATTCTTAAAGATTTAGTTAATTCACTATTCTCACATCCCTGCATAGAACCAGGAATTTACTGTACAGTATGTACTATAGAATCATACACTGTAATTGCTGTTATTTAATACACCTCCCTTCTTATGTGTTGTTATAAAGCAAATAACTACTGTACAGTATCTCCATAATTTGATTCTTCATACAGCAGTTACCTTCTTTAGCAATAATATGTCATCAATTCTGTCCTACAGGCCCAAGTGGTATCTATCCTTGCACCAGTGGTTTGAGGATAATGTACCTGAGTGGGACGCAGGCCAGCACAAATAAGAAAAGTCCTGGTACATTCATCTTTGATGATATCGCTTCACTTGAGACTCAAGCTACTAGTAAACCAGCTATAGACATACTCATCTCTAGTCAGTGGCCAAGTGCTATCTGTAACTTTGCTAAGAAATGTGTGAGTGAATGTTTTTCTTTTGGGCATCATTACTTCAACTGAAGTTGTAGCAATTCCTGTAATAGTTTAATTTGCTTAGGTAAATTCAGTTGTCAGGTTTTATTTGACTAAGTTGTTGAAAAAAAAAGAGATTCCCATAAATAGGAAACTAGGTGTTGTGTGAAGTTACTTTGTTACTACAAACCATATGGAGTTTGCCGAGTTTTCTGGGCATGCTCTATTTTTTCAGTTCCTCTGAGATTGGCTGCATAAAGGAGAGGTTGTGCTTATGTTTGATGTTAGGAGAATAGAGAAAGGAATGATAATAGCCTTGAAAGATGTGAACTGTAAGAGTAAATACTGTAAATTGTAAAAATGAGGAATGTGTATGGCAGTTATTTGGTCATATTGAACAAATAGCTTACGATAGATTGGTGAAGAAAATGTATTCCAGTAAATTTGAGGTTTGGAGGAGGACGAAGTCCAACAAAATGGTTTAGTGTTAGGTAGTGGGGAGTGAGTGTGTGAACAGTGCACAAGAAGCATTTGGAAGTAAGGTTAGGTAGAATATTTTTTAAGAGGGAGTGAATATTTGACATATATATTCCATTAATTGTCATTTAAAGTACTACACACAGATGTATGAAGCAATGGATCACTGCTGTGAATGGTTAGCTGGGGTGGGTGCAGTCACAAGATGATATGAAGTGTATAATATATCAGCCCATCCTCCTGTTTTGGTTGTACTTATAGTAACGATTAGGACCATAGTATGTATACTGATGTACAGTGAAATTAGAAAATAGAAGTCTATTGAGATGGACAAAACAGAAAACTATTTTTTACTTGTGTTGCTTTTACAAACTAACCTAACCTGCATAGGCCTAATACACAATATTAGGCCTATGCAGGTCTTATATATACACATATATATATAAGGCACAGGCCTTATATATACACATATATAAGGCCTGTGCAGGCGATGAGTCACAATAACGTGGCTGAAGTATGTTGACCAGACCACACACTAGAAGGGTAAGGGACGACGACGTTTCGGTCCATCCTGGACCATTCTCAATCGACTTGAGAATGATCCAGGACAGACCGAAACGTCGTCGTCCTTTCACCTTCCAGTGTGTGGTCTGGTCAACATCTAAGGCCTAATATAGTATGTGTGTATGCTGTACTAGGCAGAGGAATATTTATGTTTGTGTTCTAGCTTCATTTATTTGAAAAGAATTCCTTACTTGTCATTATACTACTATCTAAAAGCTAAGAACGTAAATTCTGACTATTGACGATCGTCACAATAGGTGCTATCTAAACAGGAGGATGGGATGAATATATTTATCCTTCTTTCTATATGTTGTTATTTTTCTTCCAGGCTCATTTCTCTCCATTTCATGAAGGGGGGGGGGGGGGGACAGGTTAATGGTGGCATTGATATGAATGATGGGGAAGTTGACTGATTTTGTGAACCATAGACAAAAAGTCAAGTAAGTGAAAAAGTTTTTTCAGTAATGTCAATGAGTATCAATGTTTCCAGGAAGGCTGTGATCCTGAGGTTACAGGATCAACCATGATATCAAGATTGGCATTCAAAGTGCGACCTCGATACCATTTTTCTGGAGTTGAAGGCGTATATTATGAGCGATTACCATATAGGTAAGCTAGCTGGAACTTATTCAAATATTTTGCATTCTTCTCTTTTTTTTCTGAGCTATAAACCAATAAGTGTTACTTGTTAGTCAGCATCTAACTAAAATAAATGGTATAACAATATTTTTATACGCAGGATTCTATATGCTAGTCTGACCCCACTAAACCCCACTGGTCTGACTACACTAAAGTTTAAGTGTTTAAATGTACACTTTAGTGTACATTTAACCACTTTTAAAATTTTAAAACCACTTAATTTTAAAACTTTTTTTTTTTTTTTTTTTTAATTTTTTTTTTTTTTTTTTTTTTTACACACACACACACACACACACACACACACACACACACACACACACACACACACACACACACACACACACACACACACACACACACACACACACACACACACACACACATATATATACAAGAGTTGTTACATTCTTGTACAGCCACTAGTACGCGTAGCGTTTCGGGCAGGTCCCTGAAATACGATCCCCTGCCGCGAAGAATCGTTTTTTCATCCAAGTACACATTTTACTGTTGCGTTAAACAGAGGCTACAGTTAAGGAATTGCGCCCAGTAAATCCTCCCCGGCCAGGATACAAACCCATGACATAGCGCTCGCGGAATGCCAGGCGAGTGTCTTACCACTACACCACGGAGACTGTTAAATTAATGTTTAGTCCAAATCATACAGGGCTGGATTGAGAATAGTTCAGTGTCTCTTTCCCTATAGATGGCCAAGTGGAGTTTTTTTTTTAAATAACCCTTTCTGTCGAGGATGATAAAATTGCCCTGACCCTGGCTCAAGTCTGCTGAGTCCTGGAGGAGGAGGACTTTTGCCTAAGGAAGTGACCGAAAGACTTGCTTGGAAAAAAAACTTTTCATATAAAAAGTTTTATTTTTCTGATAATTACCCAGTCAAATAAATTTAAACTCCAAATATCCATCTTTCTCTTCCTCGTCACATTCAAGTTATGTAATCAAATTTGTAAGTACAGTATTAGGTGATACATATTGCTATAGGATAATTACCAATTATGAATCTACAAGTGTATTAATTCATATTTTCTGTTTTTACTTGCCTAGGAACCACATAGTTTTGCAAGAAAAAACACGCCATGTCAGTCGCTTCATAGGATTAGCAAAAGTGGGAAATCCTGAGAAGCATAAATGGCTTTATGCCTTCAATATCACTCCCATGGTTCACTGCGATCAAGCAGAGCTCACAAAACAGCCTCCAGATGTCACTGAGTGTCCCTATTCAGATGGTAATATTGCTCAACAACCAAGACAGGTACAGTACATTTTAACACTGATTATTAAATTGTGACAGCAAGAAGTTGCTCTACAAGCATTCAGTATACAATAACTATCAAAGGTTAACATATTCCCCGGCTATCCTGCTTGCTTGTCCCATGGTTAGGTTCCACTGTTGACGGGGTCTACCAAGCAAATCATAGTCAAACAGGGTGAAATTGAGGTTTCCGAGAAGTTTGAGAAGTTAACTTTTGAGAAGTTGCCATGGGCAACTTATTTAAATCTTTGCACTTGGTCATACTGGCACAGACATGACATGTATTCTATGCAGCTGACTTCGGTAACATTGTCCTTCTAAATTGAACCTTCTAAGGAACCTCCCTTCATTACAAATTTTGTACTTGTGCTTTTATATCCTCTTTCATTTCTTTTAGTATTGTAAATGGTTCTCAAGAGCAAACTTATGAATACATTTGCTTAAGTTAATAATCTGCATAAAATTTAGCCATTTTTGACATTGTAGACAGCGGCACAAAGCACTGCAGCACAGTTCTTCTATGATATGAACCCCAAACCATACGATGATGGCAAAGGCAAGAGGAGAAGGGGAGAAGGAGACGAGAATGGACAAAAAAAACGGATGCCTCCTAAACCGACTGGTTAGTGCGTGTGGCATGTTCTGCTGCTGAAAATGAAATTGGATGGTCAAGTCTTGCTTATTTGAGGGATTTGGTAGTAGAGGTGTTTCAGTACAGTACATATTAATCATTAAGATATTCAAACAGTATATAAATTGAGACTATAAGTGCAAAATGTCTTTTTATGAGTACTGTATATGGACATGTATACTGTATTTACAGTGTGTATTTAGTATTTGTCTGCAGAATTGAGCTATTTGCTCTTGGACCCTGCCATTCTAACCAATCTATTTTTTCCTCAATTATATCAACTTCATATATTTCTAATACACACGCGCACACACACCCACATCACCAGGAAGTAGCCTGTAGCAGCTGTCTAACTCCCAAGTACCTATTTACTCTTAGGTCCTAATGGCCCCGGGTTCGATTCCCAGCCGAGGCGGAAACAAATGGGGAGAGTTTTTCACCCTGATGGTCCTGTTCACCTACCTTGAGGTTACTTTGAGGTGCTTCCGGGGCTTAGCGTCCCCGCGGCCCGGTCGTCGACCAGGCCTCCTGGCTGCTGGACAGCCTGGTTGATCAGTCCAGCAACCAGGAGGCCTGGTCGACGACCGGGCCGCGGGGACGCTAAGCATTTTCACAAGCCCCGGAAGCACCTCAAGGTAACCTCAAGGTAGGTGAACAGGACCATCAGGGTGAAAAACTCTCCCCATTTGTTTCCGCCTCGGCCGGGAATCGAACCCGGGGCCCTTAGGACTACGACCCTCGAGTGCTGTCCACTCAGCCACGAGGCCCCATAGATGTATGTGTGAAGATGCTTGTGTAGCTGACATGCATTTACTTCTGTACAGTATATACAAGTGTATATAATAAAAGTGTACTTGAATATTCACTTTGCACAGATTCACGTACACTTCTTGCATATTATCACACACATGTATTCATTTTCACAAACACAAACAGAAAGATTTCATTAAATGTATACTGTTTACATAAACATATATATAGACATAAACATATGTCTATATTTCAGTAATTATATTTCTGCTTTAGTTCTGTTGGAAGATAATTAAATAGCTTTAATAGGATAATTGGAGCAAATACTTGTTTGTAAATATAACATGTATAATCGCTTACTAAGTGGCCATTTGCAATTTAGCAGTGAGGAAAGTTTACAAGCTGTTCTCACAATATTGCCACTAGCAATTGCTGTCACTTCTCACACTTGCTGGGCACTTGCATACTTGTTGGGCACGCTCCAGTCTGCACATAAAGTATTTTCTTCACTAACCAGCCTCTCGAACTTTTAACACTGTCTCACTTAAGCAAGCCATCCACTGCAGTACCTCACTTCTTCATGTGACTTGGTGTAGAGCTTCCCACAAGTTGTAATCTTAAAAAAATATTTATATGGATGAATAATTAGTACTGTAAATACAGTACTGTATGTGTATTTAACTACAGTATTGACACTTTTATTCAGTAGCATTTAGTGAAATTTTGTATTAGTGTTTAGTAAGAATGTCTTGTAAAATGAGTTTTGGAACATGTTTTGGAACATTGGAACAGTGAGCAGTCATAATTCATTGCAAAACAGAAACATATTGCATGTCTTTGAGCATGCCAGATCACTTCAAATGCATCATCTTGTTAGTATGAAGCTTTATTTGCATTACTGTCCACTTGCAGTAAAATGTGTTTTAAATATTTTATTTTTAATGTATTCCTAATATTTTAATTTGAGTATACAAATATTTTGACAAGATCCCAAGTAATGTACTGTATTTAGATTTTATAGCAAACTTTGATGACTTCAGGTCCATGCTGGTTCTGCCTGGCCAGTCCAGAAGTAGAGAAGCACTTGGTGGTGAGTGTGGGGGATCATGTGTACCTGGCTCTAGCAAAGGGTGGCCTTGTACCTCAGCATTTGCTCATCTTGCCCATAACCCACTTCCAGAGTACTCCAGACCTGGATGATGACAGCAGAGAAGGTAAATACTGCAATATATCTTTTATCTCTTAAAATGATTTGGCATCATTCATTTTGACACTAATTTGCTAGTACAGCAATATCATCTCGTAATTGTATACTGCAATCTAAATTTTCATCAAATTATAGAAATATAACTCTGTGGGTATTGTCTAATTTATCATTAACACTTACCTGAACATCAAATTTTCATCCGATACTTGCATTATCATAAATGTAACGTTAAACTCTTAGACAAAATTATGCTGTTTTCAGTAACTTTCTTTGTATTACATATACCTTAACACATTCTTGTGTTCCCCCAGTTCGTTAAGTTGAATGCCATATGAATACATGTATAATTCATATGCAGTACTGTACAGTATATTTAATTGATATTTTTGTTTGTTTGTATAATTCACAATTAAATTTATAATTTTAACTTATCCTCACAGAAGTTGAGAAGTTCAAAAAGGCACTGAAAAGAATGTTTAAAAAGAAAGGCAAAGATGTTGTTTTCTTTGAGAGGAATTACCGCACTCAGCATTTACAAGTTCAAGTTGTTCCAATACCTGCCGAAGCTGCCTCTCAAGTCAGAGAGATATTCATGGTTTGTATATTGTTGAGCTTCTAAGGAAGATTATTTCTGTTACACAGATTTTTAACATACACTGTAGTCAGTTTACAAATGCAAAGGGTATCTATATTATCACAAGCGAACTCTTATCTTTATCTTGTTTGGCTAATTACATATTCCTGCTCCTTTAATGTCAGATTTAAATTCAGTATATTAGTTAATTTTGGCTAATGGTGCAGAAACCTTGCAGAATTTACAATACTGTACTTGCTTTAATGTATTGTACATGCTGAAAATTATTTAAAAGTAATACTTATATAAATCCTAATATATTGTACATTTTATTTAGTGACAGTTCAGTATTTCTTGTATTTCATGTCTTAATGTCATATTTCTGGATATAATAAATAATTGACTTAACATTTCCAGGATGTGGCAGAGGATAATGGCATCGAGTTGGATGAAATTCCAAAGTTATCAGATATTGCACAAGTAGCACCGGCAGGAACACCATTCTTTTATGCTGAACTTCCCACTGGTGAAAAGCTCTATCACAGAATTAGGAAAAGCTTTCCACTTCAGTTTGGAAGGTAGGATATAAATGGCATGCTATAGAGCTCTGCTTACCATAAATAGGCTATAGAATACCTGTAAAATATTATATGTGAAATTACTAATGAAGCTGAGAGAGAGAGAGAGAGAGAGAGAGAGAGAGAGAGAGAACGAGAGAGAGAACGAGAGAGAGAACGAGAGAGAGAACGAGAGAGAGAACGAGAGAGAGAACGAGAGAGAGAACGAGAGAGAGAACGAGAGAGAGAGAGAGAGAGCGAGAACGAGAACGAACGAACGAACGAACCAAATAGGGATGTCGAAATGCAGTACAGTACTGTACATACATTATGTGGAATAAGACTGAAGGACAATGTAACGGAGGTGATTTAAATTTTAAAGATGAGAATTCAAAAAGAAAGTGAAGATGAATTCTCCAATATGAATCAATAATGGAAGCTTTAAATAAAAGATAGGATGCAGTAATATCAAAATTCCAATACATTACAATGAAGTTTATGCATTTTGGCTTGTAGAGTTCTAAATTTTTTCCTTATATTCATGTATACTGCATATGGTTCTCATATGCATTTACTAATCATACCTTTGGTAGTCTTGTGCCATATTTTCAAATCCAACACATAACAGATAATCTGTCTCATGCTGTATATCTCACGCTATATAAATAAGAATTAAATCTCTTCCTTGAATCCACTTAATATTTATTATGTTAAAATGTATGCAATGAAACCATTTGTCTTTCCAGAGAGGTGTTAGCAAGTCCCCCAATACTAAATGTTCCAGAGCTAGTTGACTGGCGTGAATGCAAGAGTTCCAAAGAAGAGGAAACAAAGCTTCGCAACAAAATCCGGGATGCATTTGAACCATTTGACTTTACCTTAGAGGATGAAGATGAATAATTGATGATGTCTTTTTTTTTCAACTGTTCTGTTACTGACTGAATGATCCTAAAGTTTTTAATTATTTTTATAAAAATGCTTATTTGCTCATATTTGGTTACTTATACCCCTTTAACAATCCATAGGAGGCTGCATAGAGTATTTTCCAAGCTTAAAATCATCATAATAATCATCATCATCATCATCATATGCATCATCTTCATCCTCCTCATATTTATTATCTTCATCATCATGCCTCTCCTTCATCATTATCATACTTATCTACATCATCATCCTCACCATCTAAACATTTTTCAACTGCTTTCCAGGGTCACCTTCATATTGCCCATTTTGTTGGCTTGGTCTTTTCTTTTTCTCATCTTGGGTGACACTGCTCGGTGATCAGTTTATTAGACAAAACCGCTAACCATAAATCAGCATGAAAATATTTTTTTCGACAAAACTACTAACCATAAATCAACATGAAAATGAAGATATTGATCAATTTCAGTCACATATCAACAAATTCCAGTTTATAGTACTGTACTGTACTGAACTATAGTATGGAAAAAAAAACTTAATTTGAGTGTAGGAAATGTGTTCTTTTTCACACTCATTTATCCATCTCATTTCAAGACCATGCCATAACATTATGAAACTATACACAAATATAGGGGGTGTAGGTATAAAAAAATAAAATTAGTAAAATATTTATAAATGTTTTACTCAAAAATTGAAGCAGATGAATTAGCTAATATTATGAGAGCTTAACTATTTAATGTGTAAGAGAGAAATAAATAAGTGCATCGTACTTGTGTTGGTGCTCAAGATGAACAGGGATGCCATCTGGTTGGTGAAACACTACAGTAGATATATAATAGATTGCAGATTTCCCACTTTCTGTGCCACAGGTAAATGTTATTACCGAATTTGATTCGCTGAACAACATGGTCTCGTGTCAAGGCAGACCTGCAAAACAGCTACTACCCAAGATAATATAATCATAAGCAACAAACAAAATTCTCCTGGAGAGGGGGTAGACAACCTGTGCTTCATGTGGATGTTGAGAGGCAATATTGCATGAACATACAGGCTAAGTTATACTAAGTGTACTATATTATACTGTATACTAAGAGATATAGTGGGTTAGATTATCTAAAATGTTCTGATTTTGAGAAACAATTGGCTCACCGACATAAATGATCTATTTAACAAGTAGAACACTGATTCAGTGAACTTCCATTCTGAATTTGAGGGCAAACAGAATTCCCTGGAGTAGAAGCACTAAGGGACAGCGAGAACAAACAAGTTTGTCTTCAAGATACATGAAGATGTGCCATCTCATGAGACTGCAAAGGCTTAAGCTATAGACTACAGTACTTGATAATTTATATTAGCATGAATGGTGCTTATTATGCTGAACTTATTCAAAGATTGTAATTTTATCCTGGAGAAGCAATAATACAAGCTCAGATGTGGAGTTCTTCATGCCAGCCAATTTGCCATGACTGCTATGCAAGTGTGTGTTGATACTGTATTACTATCTCACCTACTTTTTTCATGAGATCTATCACCCAATACAGGACACTCATTTTGTCATCTCATCCAGTCACTATCTGGCAAGCAATTTGTTGAGGATGTTGTATCGACAACAACTTTAGAGATAATTTTAGGAACTGGAATATAATTTTAAGAGAAAAGACAAATTTATAAAACTTAGAGACATTATATTGAATAATGTTGTGTATATTGTATCTGAACATTAGCATATGGACCCTGGTGAGTGGTAAGATACCCGTACTGCACTTCGCGAGCGATTTGGCCTGGGTTTGTATTATGGCTGGGGAGGATTGACTAGGCACCAATCCTTAACTGTATACCTTTGTTCACCCAGCAGTGAACGGGTACCTGGCTGTTAAACGATTTGGCGGGTCGTAGTCCAGGGAAAATTAAGATGTCCAAAATGCTATGCATGCTAGTGGCTGTACAAAGAATGTAAGAACTCATGTATATAAAAATAAAATAATGTATAATCTACCTACCTCCATTTCTCTCCCTATCTTTCTCTCTTTCTCTTTCTTTCTTTTGCTCTTTTTAATGACCCAACTATACCGTTGTAACTGTTCATGATACAATGATGACCTTTTTTGTTGTTAAATAGTGTCACAAAATTTGGGTCTCTACATCAGTGATCATGATCACAGACGGGTCAGATTTGTCTACACATTAGGCATGCATACATACATACATATTCTACATACTGCATAGTTTTTTAATTGGCTTGAGAGTTTTAAGTATTTCTTCTGATGGATTGTGCCAATTTTATTAAGTAATAGATTAATGCCATAAGATGTATTTGTGAAACTTGTATCTTTCATTAATAATTTAAAAGTTTCATAAGAATATTGGCTGGTTACACAAAAATGTGAGGAAAAGCAGAGTCCACATTTTAGTTAAGAATTTATGCACAGTAGTGTCAGGTGTATTTAAAAATATGCAGAAATTTACAAAGAAGTCTTCCTGTTGTGTGATAAGAGGGTGGACCCCAACTTAGTAACTTTATTTTGATTTTGAAAAGTCTTTTCATTTGTTATGTGTACAGTATAGAGACAATTAGACACGTATGTTTGATATGCCAGTCATTTTATATGTTGTTTAAAAATACTTTAAAAGTTTGAGTATAAACAATACTTGAGATGGTTTTAAGCAGTGAATGATGAGAGCCATAACTTATAAATGTATAATAAAATTTACTGGAAAGCTGGAAGAGATTAGAGTATCAGTGTCAAAGTTAAAATGTGGGAAAGCAGCAGGTATGGATTTTTTTAATTCAGTAGCGAAAGAATTATAATAAGTGTGGATCTGTGAAGAAAGCCTGGTTAAACAGCTGTTGATGATAAGAGAAAAGTTAATTTTATGGATCCAAAGTGATCCAAATCCAAAAATATACTGTATTACTCAGTGACATGGAGGTTGGTTCCCACTTAGGATAGCTGCCAGAATTTCAGGGTTTTAAGATGCCTTGAGTGGAGTGATGATAATTTGAACTACCTCATCCCTTTGAGTGTATTTATATCTAAATAAACTTTTTTTTTTTTATTTACAAATTCACACTTTATAATTGGCATTGCATGCACCCATGTATTGCTGAACCAACAAAAATTATACCATTTGAAGCTAAACAAAATTAATTCTATAATGTTCCCTTGTTAAGTATGTGACTATTTTAATTGATGAAAGAAATTAAAATACAGTACTATGTTAAAGATCAGTTTGTTATTTTCTAAAAAGGCCTATAACTGATTTTGTATTTATAGTGTAATAAACACTTGCAAAAGCCCTTAAAAATACAGATGCTGATAAACACTTGCTTTTACAGACTTTTTTTCAGCCCAACCACTTGGGCTGGACGTAAAGCAACGGTCTCGCTTCATGCAGGTCGGCTTTCAATCACCGACCATCCAATTGGTTGGGCATCATTCCTATCCCCTATCCCATCCCAAATCACTATACTGACCACTTCCCAGTGCTATATAGTCGTAATGGTTTGGTACTTTCCCCGATAATTCCCTTTTACTATTATTTTATAATTTAATAATTGACATGACAAACTTATTTTGATACCATATATAGTATGGAAAACTGCAAAAGCCCTGAAAAAATATAGATGCTGAATTTTAGAAACCATAAAATACTTTGCAGTACCTGGTCCCTAAATGTAGTAGCTGCAATGTATGATTGATAATTAAGAGGAATTGATTGAACAAATAAATGAATTTTGTTCATTTAATTAAGAGGAATCTGCATATTTAGAGAAAAAACAAGTAGACATAATGGGTTTTTTCCCCGTGGGGTCCTATTGGTGAAATTTTACATGGGTACTATTAAGGAAAAGGTCCTTATTGACATGGATCTTAAGCCTGACGTCAACTGTAGGTATGTTAGTGACATCATCTAGCGGGTACTCAACATGGAACACTTGCTACAGCTTAACGAATCTTTCAAGTAACATTCCATGCTCAATTTCATTTACAAGATGGAGTGTGTTATGGTAAGCTGTCTTTCATAGATGTAAACCTCAAAAAGGAATGGTGACATTCACAGCAAGGGACTAATCTAGAAATGTTCCCTAATGATAGTAATGAGTGCCCTGACCAGTATAAGTGAAGCATTGTTGATGCTCCAGTCAACTGGGCTCTTCCAAGTCTGTCCCATCTATTAAACTTTTTACAGAAATGTGACCCCTACCGACACTAACCAGATTCAATTCATCATTTACTACAAGGAATCACTTTAAAAAGAGACAACGAACATCTATACCTTAACATGCCCACTAGGGACTATCAACCCCAATGATCTCAATATATAGGCATGACACAAACGTCTCTTTCAAGACTCCAGACTTTTTTGTTGTTGTTGCCGCTGGAGGCGGCTAGTTTATTTTGCCAGACTGTATGAATAACCAGGCTTTATCAAAGAACATAATTTCTACACAGACCCAAATTAACACCAGAGATATCTTGACCAACATTAAAATAATTGACAGATACAATGACAACAGAATTTTAGACATGGGTGAGGAACTACATGTATTAAACTACACTCGTCCAACTATCAACAGACAGCTTACACTTAGGTACAGCCTACCATCCTCAAGACAAACTATGCAAGTCACTCACGTGCTCCAACCAACATCAACTGTGTAGCCTCCCTCACTTCACCTCATCTTACGCGGTTATATATATATACTGTAGCTTCAACTAATTGCCTTTAGCGACTGCTCCAAGATACAAAGGAATCAACATAACTTTAAACTGGATCCCATCCCATATTGGAATCCCATTAAATGAAAAAGCTGATGATATTGCTAAATTGGCAACTCGTCATCCAGTGATACATAAAACAATTCAACCCAGCCTAGAGAACATAAAAAACATCATCACCAAAAAACTCTCACATCTCAACAAAGCCGACCTACACCAGAGAATAGCTGAAGGTTCGCTATCTGCAACATGGTATCTTCAGGCAACCAAATTAGAAAGGTTAAATATCCCAAAAGGAATTCACAGGGAAATAGCAGTTAGGTTATATAGACTACGTCTAGGTTACAGATGCAACTGGGAGATTGGTGAACCCCGACAGAGAGAGTGCATCTTCTGCCAAACTGTCACAGAAAAGCCATTACTTCACTATCTTCTGGAATGTGAAGCAACCAATGACCTTAGAAGAGCTTTAAGAGTTCCTGAATCATGCAGCGGCCACCCTGAAGCCATCAACACAGCCACTCTCCTGGTCAACAAAGGTGTCCAGCAGCTGGACACCCTCATAAAGACTGTGAAGCAGTATCCTCCCCCGCGATAACAGCTTGATGATTAAATGCAACCTCAGAATACTGAGAAAAAAAAATTGTACCACTTACGGGCTATTCATGCCCGTGCCACCTCTTGGGTGGCTTAATCTTTATCAATCATCAATCAACTAATTTATCACCGCTCCTATGCCAGGTAAGTCCACTACGGGCTCACTATAGTCCGTGCTACTTGCCCCGCTCCTGTGCCAGGTAAGTTACGGGCTCACCATAGCCCGTGCTACTTGAAACTCGTTCCGAGTAGCTGAATCTAAAACAACAACAACTAATTTATATTTTACAGGCTCACTATAGCCCATGCTACATTGAATTTTTTTCAGAGTTGCTAAATCTAAAACAACAACATAATTGACGCTTACTTGTACACATCTGCAGTCGCCAATGGTACCTAACATACGCGTAACTATACATAGAATATTTGTGTAATAATATTAATTTATATATGAGAACAAACCAATTTTTAATACACTGTATGTTAAAATGGATGAATGCGTCTGGGGAGGGAGGCCGCTGCTTTAAACAGCCTAGTATGAGGACGGGTTGCCTCAGACTAAGCTCGTTAAAATTGTACTTACCTAGTTGAGCTCTGGCTCTTTGGTCCCGCCTCTCAACTGTCATTCAACTGGTGTGCAGGTTCCTTAGCCTACTGGGCTCTATCATATATACACTTGAAACTGTGTATGGAGTCTGCCTCCACCACATCACTTCCTAATGCATTCCATTTGTCTACTACTCTGACAATGAAAGAAGTCTTTCTAACGTCTCTATGGCACATATGGGCATTCAGTTTCCACCTGTGTCCCCTAGCAACCCGTTCTCGCACTTTCTTACAGTCAATATTGACTTATTAAATATGTGCATATGTGACATACTAATTTAGTGTGAATATTTTAGTTTACCTTGAAAAGCTTCATAGAAAACACCGACCTTACCTAACCTTCTTAGTATGTTAAGATAAGCATCTTATTGCTTCGTAATTACAATTATTACTTAACCTATACCTATAATAGGTTAAGTAATAATTGTAATTACAAAGCAATAAGATGCTTATCTTAACATACTAAGAAGGTTACGTAAGGTCGGTGTTTTCTATGAAGCTTTTCAAGGTAAACTAAAATATTCACAATAAATTAGTATATCACATATGCACATATTTAATAAGTCAATATTGACTATACGAAAGTGCGAGAACGGGTTGCCCCTAGTGCGTGTGCCGACCGACACACGCACTAGGGGATAGTGTGGCCGAGTCCCCAAGACGCATTCAAAATTGTGTAAGCCGTTTTTCATTCATAACAGGTGGTTCACCGGCTGGATTGGCGAGCATTTGGCTTGTTGATGAGGACAGCTACAATTTAACAATAATGTTTAGATTCGAAGATGTTGAGATCTAATCTCAAAGAACTAGTTAGTATTGAAGAAGTCTTTGAAAGTGAAAGGGTGACGCGTGGGCTTTACAGTGATCACGTATTGTGGAGGATGCAACTAGCCTGAAGGGCAAAGCTATGCGCTAGGAGATACGCAATATGTTCACAAATACAGCAATTAAGGTGTGTTCCTTGGCTTGACGAACGCTACAGCCCAAACACTAACAATTTGGTAAACAAATTAAAAGGTCATTTGTGGGCACGTGTGTCTTAGAAAGTCATGAAGTTCTTTACGAATATATATTGAATATTTCAGTCTTCCATGTTAATTGTTTCCTTCCTCCTCCAATACTCCCATGCTAAATGTTTTCTCCCTCCCCAATACCCCCCCATGCTAAATGTTTTCTCCCTCCTCCAATACTCCTATGTTAACTATTTCCTCCCTCCCCAATACTCCCATGTTAACTCAAAAGCAAATTGCCTCTGCGTGAATTTCCATTTTCAAAACCAATTAATCCTACCCCTGGGGACCTCCTGAAATTATATTTCCCGGCCTATAATTTGTCGAGTCGATTACATTATGACTGATGACGATTATTTTTGATCAGCGGTGCGTGAGTTTACCTGCTAACGACTTTCAGTATAATCTAGAGATAATTCCCTTATCACTAATATACTTTGAAGTTATTTATTAAAGTAACAATGATCTTGGAGCGTTTAGGAAATATATCACTGTTGTTTTTACAAATGTTAAGGAGGGTCGTTGCAGCACTCGTCAAAGTTGTTGACTTTTAAACTAGTTTAGAGTGGTAAATACGGTAATTATCAGTAGAAAGCACTAAGCCATTACGACTATGTAACACTTGGATAAAGGGATACGAGGATAAAGATTTATGATAGAACGGAGGAAAGGAATAGTTTGAGAGAGCATTAATCAATTTAGGGGACAGTTTGATAGCGCAGTTCAGTTGAAAAGTTAGAGTTAACAAGACGTTCTATGAACCCCTTCCCAGTATGTTTATGTCCTTCAAGAGGTCCAAATGCTTACTCGCATATTATTTTACTATTTTATTTATTTATTATTTTGTATTTAAGGGTTTTAAGCTGCATATGCCAGTGATTCTGTTTCTTTCATTATGTAAGTGGCTCCTTACTTAGGGGGCCTGGCGGCTGAGTGGACAGCGCTCGGGATTCGTAGTCCTGAGGTTCCGTGTTCAATCCCCGGCAGAGGCGGAAACAAATGGGCAGTTTCTTTCACCCCTGATGCACCTGTTCACCTAACAGTAAATAGGTACTTGGGAGTTAGACAGCTGCTACGGGCTGCTTGATGAGAATGTGTGACAAAAACGAGGCCTGGTCGAGGACCGGGCCGCGGGGATGCTAAACCCCGAAATCATCTTAAGATAACCTCAAGATAAGATTACCTGCTGGCACTATTACAGTTGAGCAAGTATAGTGGTGGAGGGAAAGTCCATCTGGTCGTCCACAATATTTGCACGTCTTATAGATTATTATATATGGAATATATGGA